TCTTCAGCTGGAAGCTGGTTGGTTCTCTCCCACGAAAGGCTGTTGTTGGTGGTATCCGGCCAATGGATGCTGAGTATCTTGCGTAGACAGCTATTGTTAAATACTTGTACCTTCTTGATGGTGGTTGTTGTATTTCTCCAAGTTTCAGCTCCGTATAGTAGAACTGCCTTGACGTTCGTATTGAATATCCTGACTTTGATGTTGGTTGAAAGTTGTTTTGAGTTCCACATGTTCTTTAATTGAAAGAATGCTGTCCTTGCTTTGCCAATCCTCGCCTTTACGTCTGCATCTGAACCTCCTTGTTTATCGACGATGCTTCCCAGGTATGTGAAGGATTCTACATCTTCCAGAGTTTCGCCATCAACAGTGATTGAATTGCTGTTCTCCGTGTTGTGTTTGAGGACCTTGGTTTTCCCTTTGTGTATTTTGAGGCTTACTGATGCAGAGACTGCTACCATGCTGGCTGTCTTTATCTGCATTTGTTCGCGTGTGTTAGATAGGAGAGCTAGGTCATCTGCGAAGTCCAAATCGTCTAATCGGTTATGAGTTGTCCATCGTATGCCGTGTTTTCTCTCAGATATCGAGGTCTTCATAATCCAGTCGACCGCCAGAAGAAAGAGGAAGAAGAGAGTAGACAGCCTTGTCTTACTCCGGTCCTTACATTGAATGCATCTGTCAGCTGTCCTCCATGCACTACTTTGCACTGTAGTCTGTCGTATGAGTTCCGGATAATGTTGACAATCTTCTCAGGAACTCCGTAGTGTCGAAGAATTTTCCATAACGTTCTCCTATCTACACTGTCAAACGCCTTTTCATAATCAATGAAGTTGATGTAGAGTGACGAGTTCCACTCAATTGATTGTTCGACGATGATCCGTAGTGTCGCAATTTGGTCTGTGCACGACCGATCCTTATGGAATCCAGCTTGTTGATCTCGAAGTTGAGCGTCTACTGTGTCTTTCATCCGGTTCAGCAGCACGCTGTTAAAGACTTTTCCTGATACTGACAGTAGTGTAATGCCTCTGTAGTTTTCACACTTGCTCAGATCCCCTTTCTTTGGAATCTTGATGAGATGTCCTTCTTTCCAGTCCATCGGCACTTGTTCCTCCTCCCAAATCTTCTTGAATAGAAGATGAAGCATGTTCGTAGTCACTTCGATATCTGACTCCAGTGCTTCAGCTGGTATATTGTCGGGTCCTGCTGCTTTCCCGCTCTTGATTTGTCTGATGGCCATTCTGATTTCTTCGGTCGTTGGTGGATTGTTATCTTTAGGAAGATCTGTGAGCTGCTTCGATGTCCGGTGGATTCATTGGAGTTGGCCTATTCAGTAGTTCCTCGTAGTACTTTGCCCATCTGTTCCGCTGTCGTTGAATTTCAGTGATTGGCCTGCCTTCTTTGTCTTTGACCGGTCTCTCTGGCTTACTATATTTCCTTGCTAGTTTCTTCGCTGTATCGTGAAGCTGTTTCATATTTCCTTCTCTTGCAGCTTTCTCCACCGTCGTTGCTAGTTCTTCCACGTATTTTTGCTTGTCGGCTCTAATGCTCTTCTTCACTTGCCTGCTTGCTTCTATGTACTCAGCTTGTGCTTGGACTTCCTCTGCTCGTGTTAGCCTTTTGTTAATTGCTGTCTACTTGTTCTTTCTTCCTTTGATCCTGTCCAGTGTTTCTATAGAGATCCATTCCTTGTGATGATGCTTCTTGGGTCCCAGAACCTCTCGACACGTTGAAGTTAATGCTTCTTTGATACCTTTCCAGTCATACTCCATAGTAGTTTCTTTTTCCTTCAGTAGATCCTGTAGGGCTTGGAACCTGTTGTTGAGAGCTATCTTGAATTCATTGAATTTGTCAGTATCTCGGAGGAAGGCTGTATTGAACCTTTGCAGTGCTGTTTATCCAGTTGTCCAGTTCTTCTTTAGCTTCATTTTTAAATTGGCTACAACCAGGTGGTGATCTGTAGCTATGTCAGCTCCTTTGCTGGTTCTCACGTCTTCCATTGTCCTTCGGAACTTTTTATTAATGCAGATATGATCTATCTGGTTCTCTGTGGTGTGGTCCGGTCAGATCCATGTAGCTTTGTGTATACATTTGTGTAGAAATATTGTGCCGCCTATGACCAATTTGTTGAATGCACACAGATTTACAAATCTTTCTCTGTTTTCGTTTCTCTCTCCCAGTCCATGCAGTCCCATGATATTTTCATATCCGGTGTTGTCTATCCCGACTTTGGCGTTTAGATCTCCCATCAGAATGGTGAGGTCTTTTCTTGGGAACTTCTCTATGATTGATTGCAGCCTCTCCTAGAATTGATGTTTAATGTCGTCGTTGCTATCATTGGTGGGTGCATAACATTGGATAATGTTCATTGTGATCCCTCATTCTTTATTTTGAATGATGCTTTGATGATTCTGGATCCGTGAGATTTCCATCCTACAAGTGCATTTTGTGCTACTTTTGACAGCATTAGAACAACTCCCTGAGTGTGTGGAGCATTTTCCTCTTCGTGACCGGAGTATAGCAGCATCTCTCCCGTATTTAGCCTTTGTTGTCCAGCTTGGGTTCAATGGGTTTCTCTGATTCCGAGTACTGCCAAGTTGTATCTCCTCATTTCCGTTGCTATTTGACTGGTCTTTCCGGCCTCCCACATTGTCCGGACGTTCCATGTACCTATAAAAATTTTTGCTCTGGTTGTTAGAAGGGGCATCGGTCTCATGGCTTCCGAAGGAACTCGGCTTTCACCATGAGGCGTCATATTTCTTCTAAATGAAGACCTTCTAACTCCCAGGGCAGAGTTTGAATGGTTTGAGTTATTTTTTCTGGTTAGCGTTTTTTTAGCGAGTTAGTTTTCTACGGGATGGGGACGCTAACGCCATTCCCAACCCTCCTCCTTTATCCGGGCTTGGGACCGGAAGTAATTCTAGAAGAGCTACAGGAGCTCACAGGAAGAACAATAGCAAAACCTGTTCTACAGAAAAATGTGTTTTAAAACTTGATAGGTGATGGACAATGAATACACAAAATGCAGAGGTTTGTATACAACTGTATCTAACAACAATAAAAAATTGGACTTCAGTAGATACAAAAAACCTTAATACATTTACATACAAACAATAAACGTGCATCAACGTAAATCATCTTGAAAATGATACGAAAACGATCGAAAATGCAGACTCAGCAAATCATATTTATTACGGAAAATCGTATGTTTAATATCACCAATAATATTTCACTTGATGGAAAATTCGAATCAGACACGTGACGAGATTATAAGAACACTGAAATTAGTAACTCAGATGTTCGAGTAATTTTAATACTTTTATAACCATCAGTGCCTGAAGCCAATAATAAAGGTATACTTGTATTTATTAGAACCATAAAGATAGGTACGGACGTTTGGAGGTCTAAATCGGACTACTTATTATGGACGATGTTGATCATGCCATACTGAACTGTGACTCGTTGAGTATGTTTGCCGCGTGCTTTCTAACTGGTGAAAATAGTTAAAATCAGCATCTATGTCGATGAGACACAACACTATTTTACTTCCAGGATTTATTTTCTCACGTTCGAAATTTAGATCTATCCATAGCCTGTGTTCACCTACAGAGTTGACCTCTGGTTGCTTAAGTTTTGACCACGGAGTCCCCTGTTAAATGATAATAAACGAAATGAAATGTTATGACGTTAGTCACAAGGAGGAATTTACAGAATCCAGAATATACTAATTACCATGTATGTGTAAGCAAATCACAAACATATATAATCCTGTATCCTCGACATTGATGTCAACCTTTCTAGATTTACTGGGCACACCTAGTTTAAGTTTCTTGGTCAAGCATCACCAGTGGTTACGCTGTGCCACAATCCCCCGCAAATATTAGCCAGCTTGGACCAAACGTTTCTCGACATATTGATAGTTCCCGAAATGTTTCTTTGAATACCTTCATTTCTGATTTGACGTCGATTACGGTGTCACGTGTAAAGACATTATCAAACTCCAAATACCTGAGGCGTCCTTAGTCAAGTCTGTATTGTCTTACTTTATCCTTATTGTAACTGAAAGAAATCACTGGGGATCCCTTAAGTGTTTTGTTGCACGCTATTGTTATTTCCTTATTCTTTTCTTGGCCTAGTTTTTGACTTTTATTCAGGTCCCTTGTAACCATATTTTATTATACGTTGGTCCTTTTGTCAGAAACTTCATCATTTGACTTTGTCAACGATCCGCTTGTTTTACGTAATGTTACTTTCCAATACTACCAGACCATTGCAAATGGAGTCGTGTTTGACTAAAATCAAAGTCACGCTGTAGTTCACTTACTGTTGACTATCTGCTTGAGTTTACTTGAATCTGTGCAGATAGACATTTGAGCACATTTTATTAGACATAAACTTATTGGTCCTCCGGTCTCGAGCAATTACTAACTTTTACAGTTTGATAAGTTATTATGTATTGTAGCAAACTTTGTATAGCGCAGGCTTTATCGTTTGAAGTATCTAGTTCTTTCGTTCTTAAATTTCATCCATTCAGACTGGGCACATAGTTTGTGTGTTACATAAGGGAATCCGAGTCATAAACGATCTGTCCGTTGTTTAGAACAACTTATTTTGGCTTACTTGAATAAACTTGGTACTATAATAGTGTGGCAGTTGCAAACATAAGATGCATAGCTGGACTACCACATTGTCCTGGCTAACAAAACAACTTATTGTATTGATTACTATCGAACTAAAAATTTAAAATAAGGCAATCACCACGAGTAGGGCCACATGCACTATGCTATAATAATGAGGTCATGGCAGTGTCCTACTGACTCCACATAAGGCATGGTCATAACTGTTGGCAACGACAAGATTTGCACCCCTACGCCCCACGTTAACGGCCATAACATTCCTGTACCACCTCAATAAAATTACACATCAGGGAACACGCTTGCGTTTTCGACTGTCTGAATGTAAGACAGTTGTTTTTTACAACTGGAATGTACAACAATATCCTTATAAAACACCCTGATAAATTATTTATTAGATAACTACATAGCTTGAAGAACAAAAGCGAGAAGTTCGCAATCAAACTAAGATAAATACAAAGTCAAAATTTAATTGGCTCGGGTTTTCGTATTCCAGTGGTAGGGTCAGTAGTGTTAGTAAAATCTTCAAACGGTATTCTTAATTTCCCATTATGAGAAATATTGCCAGAGCGCTTTGTGGTTGAAAGAGCAGATAACCTGTTACCATACTATAAAAAGGAAATAGGTGAAATTAAAAAAAACAGAAGAGTTAAAAGCATGAAGACAAAGTAAATTGAAACATACTGATATATTTATGATAACCCAATAAGTAAAATCAGAACTTCTGACATTTCATGATAAGGAGTCTGCCATTTCTTTATGAAACATCAGAACTTCTAATTTTTACGCATTGGGATAACACAAAATTCTCATTATTCTGTAACTTAAATTCTATCCAATGCTCAATTTGTCTAAAATACTAAGCCTAAAGTTGGTAATGATGCTTCGAAAGTGGGAAGATTGGGAACATGTTTAGATGACATTAAATGGTTTGCGAACTCTTACCACTTTACTTGTTCAATTATTTACTAGTATTTTGAATGAAGCAAAAGTAAATTTCAAGTTTTTGCATATCTTGACAAGTGATATCGTGATAAAAATTGAAAGATAGATTATTGTTAGACAGTAAGTAATAATGAAGACTACTGATCCATTTAAAAATTAAATTCTGTCCAACTCAAAGTATGTGGTCTAAGGCCAATTTTTCAATACTCATGAACATGCGCTGTTTGAATTTAATTAGGTTATGTCTAACAAACCTTAACTTAAATTAACTTTCAAAGTAGGTGTCAGAAAAATGAGGTAAGTGCAATATTGTAGTGTCAGGAGTTTACGTTTGTGAAAATGAATGAAAGATCAAGATTTCCTAGTCAATATTTACTTACTACATGCTGAGAAATATGCTTCTTTTGAACACTACCAGACTTCCACTTTCTAGATGTTTTCTGAGATGAAAGTGACAAATGGATGAAAGTAGGAATTTTTGTAGAATGTAGATTAGAGTAGTTTCGTTTATTTGCATCGACCATCTGTGGATTATTACTGAAATAGAGAGTGTAACCATAAACAAGTCTAACAACACAAATATAACTATCACGTGTGTAGTATATTTCTCTAGTTTGAAAATATGAAAAATAAATAAGCATCAAGCATTTAGTGATTAGAAGATTCGACATCCAACTACTGGTTTTTAGGTTCAATCGTTATGACATGTTATCTCGGTTTAGAAAGATGAGCGGTTATATCATATTAAATGTGGCTGGAAACCAAATACATGAACCCGTGATCGATAAAGATGCATGGAATGAAGGCCATCATTACTGAAAGCAACAAATATATTGTTGAGGTATTCAGAAAATACCCCAGAAATTATCTAATGCTATTCCTGAATGAGAAATGGTGTCATTTCCCCATTGGTCAATATTTATTTGTCATTTCCTGGAGGTCAAATCTTGTACAAATGTTACTTTCTATTTTATGGTACGATGTAGTCTGTTTGTTTGGTGTATAAACAGAGTATGTTTGAAATATAATGATTCATATCACAGAGGCTGAAACTTGCGTTCTGGACTAAACTGGCTGGGCTAGACAGGGAAGCAGGGCCAATCAGAACTCTGGATTGTTCTTACGTGTTTTACGCGTCTTTGGTTCGATCAATAATTCGCTAGCCCTCTCCTCACTACCCTCTAATCGCGCGTGAGTCACAACGTACAACAATTGGCGGGTCACACAAGTTATAACATATATAATGCTTCACGCATAGAAGTAATCACAGTTATAGACGCATCGAGTTACTTTGGATACTTTAGTCTGATTGACAGTTTATCATAATCGTGTGGCGCATATATATTTGGTGCCCCTTTGTACCAATATTAATGTCTTCAAATAAATAAATAAATTATCATCATAATCACTTATATATCGAAAGGTTTATAACTAGGTACAGAAAGCGATAAAGCTTTAACTAGTAACACCTTCTAATACGAAGCGTACCCACCAATTGAAATCAAAAGACAGAAGCGAGGAGATCGAAGTCATATTTGACGAACTATCAATATATCGAGGATCGTTTGAACTAATCTGGCTAGCGATTGCAGTAGATGTTGAGCACGACTTTCCTACACGTGATCTAGTGCGGATGCTTGACCGAGCGCCTTCAGCTAGATGAGTTCACTAAAAATTGTGGTCAGCATCCAATGTCGAAAAAATAAAGAGCTATTTATTTTGGGGAATTATTTACTGCTACTCGGCGTTCCCAATCGCGACCTGGTGAGGATGCATGACCGAGCGCGTTCATCCAGGAGAGTCCATTAACCTAATATGGTCAGCATACAATGTATAAGACTTACATAGCTATTTATTTTGGGGATTTATTTACCACTACAACGTTACTGCCAAATTTGTCTTCGATTACTGCGTTAAATGTGAATAATTTTCTTTTTTTAGACTAGAAGCAGTAAAGATTGTCATCGCCTTCCAAAATCGATAACATTTTTCTATAAGGAGAATGCATATTTCATAATGCAATGGTTAATAAACTTCGTAATATAACGTACGTTGTACAATATCTTAGTACACTTCTCAAAATTGTTCAAGGTCGTTTGTCTCGTTCTTATAGTAATCTCGAAAGGAAGAACACATCACATGGTTTATAACATCTTTTTAATTTAAGCGTGCGAAAACAAGAAATCGTCATCATCTATGCATAAGGTACAAACTTTAACATGTCGAGTAAGGAGTGTTCTATTTAAACCATATAAATATATATAGCTGCTCCCCAATCAACCAATAAAGGGGAAGATGCTTTGGTAAAGAAAGGGGAAAACGCGCCAAAATGTCTCCTTTTTCGCCTGTCCGGGGGAAATAAAGCCTGAATAGTGATCACTATTCAGGCAATCAGTAAATATAAGGTGCTTGAGTAAAATCGCACGGAATGTCTGCTCCTGGTGTATGTATTCTTAAGCTCCCAACTTTGGGTAAATCCCCAAACTGAAATGGCCTTAAGGCCTCGGGGGAATTTCCCGAGGTTTGGGGTAAATCCCCAAAGTATGCGTTGCGCATTATTCCAGGATAAAATTTCATCACCATTGCACTATTATACTTTTAAATATTAAATTACAACTAAGAAGTATTAATCTAAGTAAAGTAATGTTTTTTGGTCACGAATAGACTAACACGGTTGTGTTAGGTATCCAGTGCAGATTTAATACTTTTTAATGTCACTGGATGGTTTTTCTCCGCTTTTACTGCTAACTTCCAATTCTAATAATAGATTTGTAAATGAAGTGCTCCCATGACGTAATTGCGTTACAGTCAATGTCATTACGTTATGGGAAAGTTAACACTAGGGTTAGCCAATTTGCAAAGCGAGCTCCTTACCTAGCTTAACTATTAATACGTAACCCTGACCGTTTTGTATTTTAGCTGCTGTCATTTTGTGAAGTAAACTTTGTAATACTGTGGGGTTATGCCTCGCGAGGGGTATGTACAACACTGTCGTCCTAATGTGTTGACTTCATTTCATTGTCATGTTGTTAATTCTTAATAAACTCTATTTAACTAGACAGCTTTTCGTGATTGTCTGATGAAGTGCTCAATCTCGTCAGTACATTATATCCTTACCTTGATTCATATCGTTGCTGATTCAGCTTACACAATTTTCGAAAACCATATATTATAATCAATAAAACGCAACCTAACTTAAGTAAATTGTATCTGAACACAGCGTTACAACGCCATGTGCGTTAACGCCGGATGATGATAACTCATATAAAGTTACATTGTAGCTGACTGGTGGTATGGTTATGTGCTTAGAATATCATCACAGATGTTTTTATTTAATGCTTCGATTAACGACTCTTGAACTCGAGATGAAAGCGGATGACTAGTTAGTCTATGGCTCAAGACCGCTTTTTCCAAAGACTGGTAGGATGGCATCCTTTAGACTCGCGACTCCCTGTCTAAGGCCCTACAGGTTGTTTAATTCAATGACTTGAGTCGTCTTTCAGATATTGCTTAAAATACAACTTTGGTCTTTGAAGTTCTTGATATAAGAATAGGAAATAAACTTCTGCTTCACACGAAAATAGGTCCGTTAGATATACGTATTTTTTATATCTGCGTTTAGTTTGGCGCTAGTTTCTTAAGACTCTCAGAACCTGTTCGCCTAATCGCATTTTGGGACATCTATTGAGATCGTCACAGAAGTGAGCATGCTTGCTTCTATAATATCTTGAAATAAAAGTCGTGAATAAGTCAAAATGTCCAGGAACAGTAAGTTAAGACCTGTAGGTTAAAATAGGAGTTATGTTTTGTTATGCAACTACAAACATGGGTGGTTGCGACAAATTTCACGTGTTCTAAAGAATTTAAAAGGCTATGGCAGGGCAATTTATTTCGTATTGTTCCAGGGAACTGGGTTTCGTAAGACTGTATAGAAGTAAGGACGGATACAGAGAAACGCTTAAAACAATACGAGCGACATCATGCCCAGAAATTTCACAATGATGAACATAAAGTCCCAAAACTTTGTCCAGAAGAAAATTTAGCACATTCTTTTGTCGTTTTACTCGAGAACCATTTTAGATGTAAAATGTTTTTATTTCAGACAAACTGAAATACTATCAGTTGGTATTTATTAAAAGAAGACCTTGGCTTTTAACGAAATGGTTTTGTGCACAATTTGTTCAAGTGAAACTTCCAAGTATAAATGTCCGAGGTGTATTGCACCATAGTATGCTGAGTTGTCAGTTCACTAATACTTTAGTTGCTCACTTGCCTGTTACAAAAAACACAAACAAAGTGAGTGCAAACCGGGAACCTGTGTACCAAGAGTTGTGCATGCTACCGTCGAACAACAGGATGAGATGGTCGACTATGTTCCGAAGAAAATTTTAGAAGGCTTAAGTAAGTGTTACTCTTAATTTCGCCATTTTTACGCAGAATACTCGGATAAAATTCGAGATCTACTGAAGAACCCTCATCTCCGGAGTCTGCTTCGATTTTTGAACGATACAAATAAACCATACTCTGCATTGGAAAATGTTATGCGTGAACCTATTTTCGTCGAATTTTCAGATGAATGCCTTAAGATTATAGACTCAAACTTATAGGTCCAATATACTATTTCTAATAATTTTTTGAATAATTTCTCAAGTGTTGTCAAATATAAAAACTTAAACATGGTTCATTCTCTTGTGACTGAATTGTTATGAAAGTGTTAATCGGTAAAGTGATTGTGCTGCTTTAACATCTACGCAGGATTTTGTGCCGGAGTAGCTTTATAATTAGTTCGTGATCGTGATTTTTAAGGTCTGTCGAGTTTGATTTGCACACTTTATCACAAACAACAATCAGTTGGAAAATATTTAAAAGTAGATCCTCGCGTATGATTTTCAGGTAGGTTGTTTGTTTATTGATGGATTAATTGACAGACAGTTGTATCATTGGGTTACTACATTTTAGAAGTCTAGTTTGAACAGTTTAGTGCATTAAAATTACCGAGACTCGATCTTTCTAAAAGTAAGTAGACTGACTGACTGACTGAAGTAGACAAGAAACATGATGGATGTCCGCAAATTTTGGAGGAACTATTAAAAGTTGCTAGTGATAAATTTAAAATTTACGAACTGACCAATTTTATGATTAAAAAACGTTCTGTTTAACCAAATAAGAAAACTCTTTATACATTTTAAGTATCTGTCACCAACGTAACTGATGGTTGCGATATTCTGTAAAGACGTATACGCAGATAAAGCCTCTAACACACGTGAAATATCGATATTTGTATACGTGTTGTACCTGCGCAGTTGTACAGGTTAATTCAACGGCCGAATCAAGTGTGTCAGTTCATTTAATAGTTCTATACAGAGACCTGGACGGACATGAATCCAGTGCCAAACCTCTCAATTTTGTGTACAAAAATTCAAATCCTTATACTACTAAAGTGAATCCCAACCCAGACAATAAGTTACTTAGTCATCGGTGCGATCGCAGCTATCAAAGTCGACCTGGTTAAGTTCAAATAAGTTTTACGAAATTTCCCGGTCTATAACCACAGATTTTGTAAAATCTAACATTGACATTCATGGAATTATATCTTTATAAATTTAGTGTCTATTGAATTGTAAGAAGCAAAGAAATGCTTGTTTGGACTAAAAAAGATTTTAATTTTTTTAAAAACTGACCCCATAGAAATAAAATACTGGTATTCAAGAAAAAAAGTGAAACACAAAACACTTCATATTATATAAGTATTGAGAGTGGGAAACAAGTACATGAATCAAATTGTAAACAAATATTCTTGGAAACACCATTTCAAGAGATTGATAGAATACGGACTGTACTTTTTTCTACACACGCCATATACGAATGCTTCCATCGTGTGCTGAACTTAACAAACGATCGTCACTGACCCAACATAATCCAGTGCTATTACTCATAGGATGAGCCGCTTAAAATAAAAAGAAATCACGTTGACGATTTCATTAATCCATAGAAATATTAATTACACATGTTTGTCATGCTTCATAACGAGATAATTCAGTCAATGAAGTCCCAGTTTTAAGCTTGTTCTGAAAACATTAATGTTACTATTATAATCACTCGACGTTACGATAATACATTAATGTATACATTTTTCCCTGGGATAACTGTATTAATTATTAGTTGTAGTACTAAGTGTATTATCACAGGAACGAATGAATTAAGTCTTCTAGTTATAGCTATGAACCAGACTCTGTGTCGATTTAATGAAGTAGACAGAACAGATGATAAATTCTAAGATAATGATTCCTACTACAGTTTCTGTTAAGTTCTTGAACATTACCCTTAACATATCCAGTTTATTTCAAATGTTAATGCGTTACCTGTACTATATCCTTATATGCAATCTTTCTTTTATATATTACCACCATTGACTTAACTACTCCTATGAATCCGGTGTTCATCTTGCTGTGCTAATACGGTATGGCAACTTGAACCGATGCATATATATATATATATATATATATATATATATATATATATATATATATATGCCTGGTCCTACGTTGTAGCTGACTGATTGACTGACCTAAGACTCAGATCACTAGCTATTGATTCTCAATGACATTTAAATAGAGCAGAAGCAAGTAAAACAAAGGAACGTACGGATTATGAGTTGATAGATAACCGTAAACAGTTAACGGATTTAATTGTGGTTACAGTTATGAAGATTTTTACTGACAAAGTGTCAAGAGGCTTTAACTTTCTTCTTAAGTTAAATTTATTCATTTTGTTAATTCTAACATTGAAGTAAATTGTTTTGGAAACAAGCTCAAAATTCGGGTACATACAACAAGTGCACACATTGACTTATACATTTGTTCTATTACACTTAGTTTTACGATGGCATAATTTTCAAGTATTCACAAACAGGTACACAAATAGTGAAACCATCACTAAAAGTCCAACCTCCTAATGTATATTTTACGACAACTGAATGATTAAGGTAAAAAAGATAAGAAGTTATTAAATAAAAAAAATCAATTGATTATATAATCAATCAATATCTCAAAAAACATATTTCTTTACAACTGTAAAAGTGATCTGTTGCGGGAAATATTGCTTATAAACATACTAAATTAATACAAACGATCATACAGCTCATTAATTTAGCGAAAGGTTTTTTACAGAATTAGTGTATCAATCATATAAAATAATCAACTTTCCAAGTATTTAATATTCTAAGATATCAACTATCAAGTTAAAATATTTGTGATTTTCCCAAAATATAGAATACATGATGAAAACTATACAAATCATTCAATTCAATTATGACCAGTTCTTTTAATGCAAGATAAATTTAACGTGAAATCACTTACCTGTTAAAACCACCTGTTTGCTTGGTTCATTTAATGACCAAATAACAATAGAACTATCAATACTTCCAGTGGCCAAGCGACGACCATTTGGACTCCAACTGATACAGGTTATTCTAGCTGAGTGTCTGAGCCACCATTCGGAAAGAGCAGATTTAAGAGTTGGGAGGTCATTTTGATTTCCTTCACAAGTCACCTGGAAGAACAAAAGTAATTAAAGGAAATACATTCAATTAAAAATGAAATAAATCTCACATATCACTTGCACATCTACATCATAAAGTAGTGTATCTTGTTTCCACATAAACTTCGAATAAATATGTCTCAATAACTGGTTGTTCAATAATGGGAAGAAAGCAGAGGTATTCATTGAAAAGGGAAGTAAAATATTAAGACATTACTACTCCATAAATCAGATCTTATATTATATAATCTGTAGAAGTTTATAACTGTATCTAGTAATTTAATGTTAGTGTAGTTTACTAGAAGTATTCATAAGTATTTTTGTGCTTAAATAATTTATACATTAGGATTAGTTGCTTATTTACTTTATTGACAAAGATGGAAAAGTTAATTCGGTTTCTATTTTCGCTAATGTATTTACTTTGTGAACCATTTTTACTTCCGGTCTTTTTATGGAGCCTCGATGAGACAGAAGAGGTAAAATATAACTTTATGATAAATATATGTCGTAATTGTTCTAAAATATTTTTTGACTTTTTAAGTACCTCTATATTAGCAGAGACTATTTCAATGTTATTTTAAAGTGACCTTATGATATGGATTTTGGGTGTCCCCAAATGCCCTGGTACGGCCGAGAGTGGGGGGAGTCCGCTCTCCCTCTCAAAATGCTCTCATATGGCCGCGCGTATACAGCCCCTGCCAGGGAAGTCCTACTCACTGCCTTCTCGTGGCGGGGGTGTTGTTTACAAAAATGAGAGGACGAAAAGCGAATGTCCGGCGCTTTAACCGGATCCCAAACCAATGGTGCACATGGGCTCCAGTATCCTGAAGGAACAAATGGCGTATGAACCAATCGTTGGTCACCGGCTACCATGGGACTGCATCTCCTCACGATGCTCCAGTGCCTTGTGGATCAGATCTTCAGGTCGAAGGCTCGGGGTGTGGCCCCCTAAGAAAACCACCTGCTTCGGTTTGGGCACCCGGGCAGTATCACAGCCCTCACACATATCAAATGAGATCTGTGTGGCGCATATGTATTTGGTGCCTTCTTGTACCGATATTTATGTGTTAAAATAATAATAATAATAATAATAATAATAATAATAATAATAATAATAATAATAATGGATTTTGGGTATAACGCATTCTTCACAATATTTTGTTGTTTTATTCATACACAACTGTTAGTCGGTTTCCATAACACTCTGGAAAATCCTGAGAATTGAACACTGTTAATTTTGTTTTGTGGAAATTGTTTTCAGTCATAAATGATGAGGTTCACTTTGGAGCTTCAGTTATCTACTTTTTTTCAATACTTGCAATCTTCCAGTTCAGCTCAGGAAATATTAGTGGTGAAGCGAAGGTTCTTTAAATACGACTAGTATTATCAAAATCTGTTCTGATGATCATTCAATAAACAAGAAAATTATTTTCGTAAGTAGTCTTGTCCACCCGCAACGGGATCATGAAAACTGCTTTACAGAATTCAGGGTATGTCAGTCTTATTTCTTTTAAATAATTTTAGTTGGTAACAGTAAGCTGATCCTGTCTCCATTGACTAAAATCTTCCCGTAAGTTTTTAACAAAACAGAATCTCCGTCTACCTTGTCGTTTCTCCACTTCAAACAATTTAATTGAACAATGTGTATAGCGATCGTCACCAATCTGGACAGTAAATAGGTTACTAAAGAGCATAAAAGACTGGATAGATGGGATGTCAACGTTGAAAGTTGATACCAACTCTGAATTCGAATTATCCTTGTGATTCTCATTAGAAAATTCAATCTACTTGAAGTATCTGTTTTCCTCAGTTAGTTATCACCATAAACATACTTTAACACTTTATAAACTTCCTACAAGTTGTTTCATGGACTTCACCAAAAACAGTAGTTCAGTTCGTGTATTCTTCAGACAGATTATATGGCGCGCGTATAACAAACGCTAATGGTACACTTCAATAATAGTTTAGCATTAAACTATCTTACAATCTACATATAAGAAATATACAGTAAGGTTATGTCAACACTGGGTCCTGGGTAATTAAAATAATCCATTATAAATAGCTAACAAAACCACAAATGATAATTTTTATTTATACAAATAAAATTATCAACAACATCTAAATTAGTGTAATTTTAAGAATTTATTGATTTATATCTACAGTACATCTATTTACTTGTATATTAGCACAAAATGTTTTTTTTTTGGTTACAATGATATTTTCTACACATATACAAAAAAAATGTAAAATTATTATTCAATCATCCGACAATATTTCGTTCTTTAAAAAAAATGTGGTATCTTGAAAAATAATCGACAGTATTAAATCACTTATAATCATAGGGACTATAATAAATGAATTAATAATTCAAAAAGATGAAATTGAAAGTAGGAACCATACAGATAAGAAGCAATCCTAAACACTTTTTTGATAATAGAGTAATTGACAAGCATATTTTACAAGCACACATTAATGCTACATGATTTTGCACAATAACAAAAAGCTATGATCTGTATTATTTGTAAAAAAAGAAGATAACTATTTAGTAATTCAATGAACAGGAATTTAAATTCACTTGGTATTGTTTACTTGAATCTCCCCATTAGTTTAAGACTGCAGTTGATCAGTCTCTTATTGACATGTGTGCTATACTGTGCGTATTGCCTCGATATTGCCTTAAGTCACAAGAATTATAAGCAAAGATGGATAGTGGCTAGCAGTAGAATCCAGGACAGGCATTTCATCTTATTTCGGACTCTTCAGTTGGATATAGCTGGATTAGTCCTGTGAAATCGTTGATAAATCAGTGGATTTGAAACATTAGGTGACCTGGTTCAGCACCAGTCTCAATAGCACAAAAGCATTCACTCTTTCTCTACGCCTAGATTCTAAGTTTCAAATTGAATTACATATTATAACGTATTATCCAATGTATCTAAGCAATTGATTGCAAACTAGTATCCTGTATCATAAATCGTGTAGATAGATAACTGACTAACAGTGACAAAAAAGAACATGATAAAACATTTCCTGGTATATAAAAAATGAATAAATATACTTACGGAGAACAAGTTCATTGAACGATCTGGGTTTGCACAAGCTAGTATTTCACCATTAGGTGAGAAATCGATTACTTCTGGGGTTACATCGGTAGCACTGACAAGATTTAATTGTTTTAACTTTTGGTTTGATGATATATGAAACGATGTATTACCTAGATTCTGTTAGTTTTTTTAAAAACAAAATTACAAGTATAAGCAAAATCATAGAAGTTGGTTTAATTGCAGAAATCGTCTATGTCTATGAACTAGTCAACAAAATATTGATCAAGAATGCGTAATAGATTAGTCCAGAGATCTTGTAGTGAACGAACACTTAGGTGAGGATAACCGATTGATTGTTTAATGCAAAATTACAGAGTGCTTTCGTAAAGTATGAAAACTATAAACTAAATAAATGATTCGCACATCTTCCATCAGTTTTCCTTTACATGCTTCATGATTCTTTCAATTCCGTTGTTATGACAATTACTTTCTGTTTTCTTCAATTGAATCCTCACAATCTTCTGCAGGTATGCATTCCGATTGGTGCTAGATACTGCTTATATCTGTCAACATAAGTAGTATATACTACGATTTCAATTTAACAAGAGGTTGGTTAAAGCCCGAAGATTTCAGTAATAATGCTTATAAATACGACAAATGATGATACACTTGTAAGTCCCACGAGTAGAATCAGTTCCCTAATAATGCCTTGTACGCATCGCTGTCATGACAAAAAAAACTAATGTCTAGGGTTTCCATCAATGATTGCTTCCAATCATCCAACATAGGTAAAAGGTGTAATGTGACATTAAGTCATTTGCTTCTATGTCTACACCGTAGTTTGATAGATAGAATTCGGTCAGTACTAAGGACTAGAAAACATAAATTGGTGTTTTTGAAGCATGGCTTGTATGTTTTGGGATGACCGAGTGGGAAATGCTGAGGTTATGGATAGGGTTCTAGGTAATGTTGGCAAATTAGTTCATGAAGCAGTAAATCTTCATCAACTGAGGTGGTTGGGACATGTGATATGTGTCGCCAACTACCTCTTACCCCGAAGGCCGATGTTGTCTTGTATAAGAGTATACTAGAGGAAAGCAAGGGGACACCTAACAAACACTTGGCATCAGTTCATGAAGTCACTTACAATTGGTATAACGGTTGCAACCTATGTATACATATGTCAGGTTCTCAGTTGCACATCAGGGACTGACATAAACTGGTAACCATTTGGTAGTCGATGAATCCATATTTCTGTAATGCAATATATTTCTCATAATTCTGATAGAATCGCTGTTCAGTTTGTTAAAGACAAATGGGTGATATGAACATTAATAAAGAACTTTAATAACTAACAAATAAATGTCTATGCTACTTCACTTTAAATTTACACATATATAACCTAGTTATCTCACAACGCACGATAAGGTTCGCTTAACATATTTACAAAATACATTTGACATATCAGAAAAATGTTATGTCTAGTCTGTATACTAAACTTGGTTAATATTGACCATAAATATATGTTGCTCTACATAGAACACAGAAAATAATTCAACTTCCTAGAACAAAATCTAAAGTAATACTTTAATTATTCAGATTAAGAATGATATCACATCTAATAATTATCATGTGGCAAAAATTTTATTTAAAATGACTGATTATTTTACGATATTAATCAATCGATAAAAGGTACGTATAACCATAAATATACTATTAGATTTATCGTCAACCAATCAAAAAACAGTGTACATATATGGACATATTAAATTTAGTACGCGTACATTTAAGTCAATGAAGATTAATTAATAGGTTATTACTTTTGTTGTCCAATATATGTAATTAATATATAAATATATATTACAAAATAATAAATTTTTTTAACAATCAACCAAAAAATATTTTCTCTTGGCTTGACCTGATTCACATCCAGAATATACATTGTAAAGTCACTGATGTAAAAACTATTGCATCTAATATACAGTAAACTAAACAGTTTCCTTTCCCGACCTTAGCTGCTACCTTAACGTGGTAGTCGGGTTTCAGTCAGTCAACTGCAACGTAGGACCAGGCACGTATATGCATCGGTCCAAGTTGCCATACCGCATTAGCACAACAAGATGAACACCGGATTCATAGGAGTAGTTAATTCAGTGGTGGTAATATATAGAGGAAAGAGTGTGTATAAGGAGATAGTACAGGAAGATAGAATTAGTTCGTAGAAAGAAAGATTTGAAGTGATTTTAATCTCTTAGTTTAAAGGAAGAAAGAGAGTGCATACACCGACGCCATTGTGATCGATTCTCAGCCATGTCACCAAGAGTCTCCAACCAATGGTTACGAGAGTTTCGCGGACCCCAACCAAGTAGTCTGCATATACCAACATGGCTCAGACCAGAAGTTAGCGACTTCAAGCACTGATTTCACGTTTTGGTGATGACCCAACCGAGCTATATTGGCTGAAACATATGTTCCTGTAGGTTTTACCATGGCCAGGCAGATCGATTGGAGAACGGTAAGACTAAAAGCAGCAACTCAAGGTCTGAGGGCGAAGTTGTACTGCTGACTGAACAGAGGTGTGACAGCAGTAAGCTGTTTCCTTCCGACAACCAGCATCTGAAATGATGCCGCCTTCTTACAAGGAAGGAAGGGGTTATAAAAGGTTGACCTTAAAAATGTTACGCCTCACCTTACCTCACGGATTTCTGTCTCCGGCGGTAAAACGCTTTGAAGAACAGAACTAATACGTTTAAGACCTCCCACAAAAAGGACGTGCGCAACCGGCCTCAAGCAGTTGTCCCTTGGTCATGCCGGTCACTCTCCCAGGTCGTTAAGACCAACACTAATCCAACTTCCTTTTCAAGCTCCTTAAGAAATACCCTTCCACGGTGTAGACAGCCGGGAAGTGATATCACCCCTCATACCCGTAACAACACACGAGACCAAGTTGTTGACAATCAAATCCTTCCTACACCTCCTAGTAATTCTTTTATTTCCACGACTAACTCTTCTCATTTTCCTTTATCAACTCGCGCCGCTAATGCAAGCGATTCGAGTACGCGGAGCGTTATTCCTAATCTCCTGAAACCACGTCCGAACACCACCAAATAGGACAACAGGCTTCCTTAGCTAGCACTTCAGAATCTCGCTCCATCGATGTGTGCTGCGTCTCCGAAACGCAAACACAGGATCCAAGTGGTGCCATTCATTTGAACTCACCATGTCAAAGTAACGAACCAACCCGATTTACGCTTCGTGGATCTGGAAACCCTGATGCTGCTTACCGTGGCCTCGCTGGCGTAAGTATAGCATTGAGTCCTAGGGAAGAACTAGCTCTCTTAGACTGGATCCTAGTAGACAGTTGCTTGTGTGCTGTCCGACTAAATGGAACAGTAAGGACTTGGAAAGATAAAAACACTCGTCGTTGCTTCTTCGTCGTCTCCGCTTGCTCTCCCACTAACTGCAGCTCAAATGATGTAAAAGATGAGTTTTACAGAACGCTTTCCGACCTTCTCCGAAAAGCTAGGCGTTCAGATTTAGTAATAGTGGCTGGTGACTTTAATGCTCAAGTAGGTAAACTAAGTGAAAGGGAAAGACACCTGGGTGGATCTTATGTTGTCGTGGCTCAAAAAACGGATAATTTATTTATTTATTTATTTATTATAACACATAGGTATTGGTACAAGGAGGCACCAAATACATATGCGCCACACGAATCTCAATTGATTTGTGTGAGGGCTGTGATACTGCCCAAATGCCCAAACCGAAGCAGGTGGTTTTCTTAGAGGGCCACACCCCGAGCCTTCGACCTGAACGTCTGATCCACAAGACAGTGGAGCATCGTGAGGAGATGCAGTCCCATGGTAGCCGGTGACCAACGATTGGTTCATACGCCATTTGTTCCTTCAGGATACTGGAGCCCATGTGCACCATTGGTTTGCGATCCGGTTAAAGCGCCGGACATTCGCTTTTCGTCCTCTCATTTTCGTAAACAACACCCCCGCCACGTGAAGGCAGTGAGTAGGACTTCCCTGGCAGGGGCTATGTACGCGTGGCCATGTGAGAGCATTTTGAGAGGGAGAGCGGACTCTCCCCACTCTCGGCCGTACCAGGGCATTTGGGGGACCGTCTGTTGCAGCTATGCTCAGATAACCGCCTGTTTCTTGCAACTACTAACCTTAAGCATAAGGAAAAACATCTTTTGACATGGCGACCACCGAATTCGTCGCAACGTTGGATCCAAATAGATCACATCGCTATCAGCCACCAATGGAGAGGCTCGATAGAAGACTGTCGCTCATTCTGGAGCACATGCTTAGATTCAGATCATGCTCTAGTGAGTCTTACTGCACATAGGAAAGACGCTGCAAGGAAACCTCTTATGGTGCTACATAATAATAGTCAAGCTACGAACATATTACAGGAAAAACTAGAAAAAGTTAGGCGGCTATGTAAGTGATGCCCACCCCAAGGCAACGTGGAATGACATCCGAAAAGCTGTAGAAACAGCAGTGATGTCTGCAAGTACGGTAAACCATGAGGTTATGGAGAAACACTGGATCTCAGCAGCGTCTACCGCACTGATAGATGTTCGGAAACTCATCCCATCTGGCTCTGAACATGACGAAGAGTGGTGTCAGCTTAAGCGCAGGTTGCTAAGAAGCCTACGCAATGTTCGCGAACAGTGGTGTTAGCGAAACCAAGAGATGGAAAAGACAGAGGCAATAGGTAACAGCAGACAACTGTTCAGGCTAGTCAAGGAAACCGGTATCAGGAACCCAACTGTTAGCGAAACAATCGCAGAGAAAGATGGATATATTATTCATTCTCAATCCAGGAGATTGGATCGATGGGCAGAACACTTTAGGGATCAGTTCAACTGGCCTTCAGCCACGCTTCGGTTTCCCACGATCTCCAGTCGACCTGAATTGCCAAGTTGATGTCGGCTCTTCAGCTCTACGAAATTGAAAAATCTATAGGAAATCTAAAGCTTGGGATAGCAGCAGGCCCTGACGGATTTACGCCTGAGATTTTTAAGGATGGCGGTCCAGTATTAGTAGTGAGATTGACTGAGGTCTTAGCCAGAATCTGGGAACTGGATGTAATCCCATCTGACTGGTCTCAATCACTGATTCGCCAGTCTATAAGAAAGGACAAAAGTCGTATTGTGACAATCACAGAGGAATTAGTTTGACTAATATAGTGTCTAAAATATTAGCTTCAATAATACTTCGACGTCTAACCAAAACTCGTGAAGAGCAGAATAGAGAAAACCAGGCTGGTTTTCGACCTGGACGTGGTTGTATTGATCAAATATTCACATTACGTCAGGTTCTAGAACATAGACACACATTCGGACGCCCCACAATGGTAGTATTTCTCGACCTTAAGGCGGCATTTGACTCTGTTGATCGTGAGGTTCTACGGCAGTGTTTGTCACTGAAGGGAGTCCTTTCAGAGATGACACTTTCCTCATCTAAATTTCCAGGAGTTGAACTTCTACCGGGAGATCCACTTGTTGACTTAGACTATGCCGATGACATAGTTCTATTTAGTGAAGACGCTGACAGAATGCAGAGTCTGCTGACCACTCTAAGCAACAATGCAAGCATGTTCGGCATGCGATTTTCTCCCTCGAAATGCAAAATGTTGCTTCAGGATTGGGTTGCGTCGACACCCGAACTAGTGATAGGGAGTGAAGTAGTTGAGCGTGTCGACCGCTTCACTTATCTCGGAAGTCTCGTCAGCCCTTGTGGTTTGTTGTGTGACGAAATCTCAGCACGGATACAGAAGGCTCGACTAGCTTTTGCCAATTGCGCAGCACTCCGTTCCGTCCTACTTTATGGCAGTGAAACATGGCCAGTAAGAGTAGAGGATATTCGTAGGTTACTAGTATTTGATCATAGGTGTCTTCGAAACATCGCTCGTATATCCTGGGACCACCGAGTAAGTAATGCAGTTGTTAGGAAACGGATACTAGGTAAGGATGGCAAATCAATTGATGAAGTAGTGAAACTTAATTAGTTGAGATGGCTGGGACATGTGTTGCGTATGCCAGACCACCGACTGCCCCAACGTGCTATATTTTATGGTGTAGGAGTAGGTTGGAAGAAAGCTAGGGGCAGCCAGACCAAAACATGGCAAGTGGACTGAGCCATTTTGGTAGATGTAGACTACTTGGTTGGGGACCGCGAGATGATAGCAACCGATGGTTAGAGACATTCAATGACATGGCTCAAAATCGTTTGCAATGGAGTAGGTGCATCTACTCTTTGCGCTCTCCCAAATTCTAATCTCCTGAATTCTTGTTTTTTTTCTTTCCAAATTTATTTGATTGGATTACACTCCCTGAATAACATCATCGAACCATAATGTTTCCGATTACTGCTTATACTTTTACTACCTCTACCACTATGGTATTTGAATCGACGATTGTATCTCTGTGCTAATGTGGTATGGCAACTCGAACTGACGTACGTATGTACAAAGATCTACGTTGCAACTGACTGACTGACTGACTGGAACAGTTTCCTTTAATTGAACAATATTTGTAACTTATAAAAACTAACTGAAACAATCAAATGGAAGTTGCAAAGCGTTGGGTTTAAGGACATAACTTTTAGTCCGTCATAGATCGTATTCAGAAAAGTTTGTTGAACTTTTTTAGCCTGTGTCACTTAAGGGGATGGGTGATATGTTTGTTTGCCAACTAACGGGTGTATATACTGTGTATTACTTTATGACTAAGAAACAGTCTTTGGAAGTAGATAAGTGTGATATTCAGTTATTTTACCATGTCTTCGAAGGATTGCTCGCGGTCCATCAAACGACCGAGTGAGCAATGTTGAGGTTAGGTATATGGTAATAGACAAATGTGGTAAATCGGTTAGTGAAATCGCAAATATTCACCAAGTGATATGGTTGGGTCATATGTTACGCATGCCAAATTATCGTCTAGATCGACGCAGTACAATGTTGGTTCGTTTACAAGCATGTTGGAAAAAACAAAGAAGTGACACCAGTCTGTGAAGTCGCCGACTACTGGTCTTAGTCATTCTGGCAGATGCTAACTAGCTAGTCAGTAGTCCTGCGATAAACACCAACGGTCGTTGGAGATTTGGTATGGCATCTCTTAGTATCGGTCACAATGGTGCAGATAAATCCGCTGTTTATCTCCCATTGTATATTGAGTTCCAGTACTCTAGCATATATATTTTACTACTCTATCCCTTCAAACCACATTTTCAGTGTTCCTCATTAGCATCGCTACTTCATTATTTTGATCGCTTTTGCTAATGTGGTATAGCCACTTGAGCCAAAGTACATGTACCAAGTCCTACGGTGATGACTGAATATTCATGGGACACAAAATCTGCTCGACTTATTCAAGTTTAGAAATGAAATAGGAACGATTCACAGAACAGTGCGCGAACCTATAATTGAGCAAGCAATAGTTAGCTCTGTTATATATAATACAAACCTGTGATCCAACAACAATTAATGACAACTTTTTTGAAATACTCATTGTAGATATTCCTAGTGAAACGTCTAGTTGATCCAACAATACTAATGAATTATTTTTAAGCTCCAATAAAACCATATGTTCAATGCATGAAACAATGATTAATAAACAATTCGATTCCATTGATTGTACACAACGAGGTTGAGAAGGAAGCTTTGTAGATAACCTAGGAACAGAAATCAATATATATATATATATATATATATATATATATATATATATATATATATATAATGTTCAAAATGTATGATTAATTGTTTTCATACTAAACTGTTTCACACAAAAGTACAAATGATACAAATACTAGACGTGCGTATATCAATAATAACATTGTTTTCTGTTTAACTACTGACAAATAAACAGTGGGGAAAAACAATTAGAAGTATTGATGTTATTTGTAAATAGTATTGAGTTTACTATTGCAAAGTGAAAATAAGTGATTGAGTAACTACAACGCATTCATTCTTCACCTTCCCTTACTTTTTGAATTCTGATATCTGCCTATTATCTTGTTGTACCAACACAGTGTGACAACTTAAACGGACGTACATACGTGTCAGGTTTTACGTTGTTCTTGTTTGACTAACAATTATTGTTTGTTTCTTTTTAAAAAAATTTTTCTCTAATAATTGCCTACGATATATGAAAAAGTAAATTGTGAGTACAAAAACAGCAAGGGCTCTTCTTATTATACAAGGTCTTTAATTCCATAGTAAATAAAACATTTCCATGGTTTAAAAATTAAAACAGATCATAATAAAAACTGGAAAACATTTTACTACTACTATTTACTTATTAATTTATTTAAGAGTGAATAGACATGAGTCCATAAAACATTACGTAATAACCCAGTGAAAACACGTTAAAAGTGCCAAGAGATAACATACTGGCTGGAACAACCGTTCCTCAAGGTCCTACCATGTCAGACAGGTCGGTTGAAGAGCGGTAAGTCTAAAATCAACAAATCCAAGGTCCGAAGGCGAAGTTGTACTGCTGACTGCACAGAGGTGTGACGGAAGTGAGATGTTTCCTTCAGACAACCAGCATAACAGTGATGCTGCATTCCCACAAGGAGGGGTGGGGTTAGAAAAGGTCGACCCTAAAAATGCACACCTCGCCTTATCCCACGGGTATCCGTCTCCGGCGGTAAGGACTTAACAAGTGCGGAGCTAACACTAAAACTACTCATAAAAAGGTCGTGTGTGACCGACCTCAAGCAGCTGTCCCTTGGGCACTGCGGTCACGCTCTCAGGTCACTATGACCAACTCTAACCCAATTTCCTTTTCAGGTACCTCCAGCAGAACCCTTCCACGGTGTGGGCAACCGGGAAGTGATAACCGCTCTCATACCTCTAACAGCACTCAAGACCACTGTATTCATAATCAACCTCCCTCTTCAATTCCTATTATTCCTCCTACATCGACTTTATACACTAAACACCCTCTTTTGATGTCCTCCTCAAGTGTCACCAACGATGAACTCAAATAGACCATATTGCCATCAGTCATCGTTGGAGAGGGTCAATAGAAGATTGTCGCTCATTCTGGGGTACCTGCTTGGACTCTGATCATGCCCTAGTACGAGCACGCATCTGCTTGCGCCTCACTGGACGCAAAAGAGCCACATTTAAAATACCCACGAGAACTGAACTGAGTAACGAGAAAAGCAAAAGTAGGTTCCAAGAACAACTGAGGTCACACTTAGGAAGTTCTGAAAACGAGACTGACCCAGATGTTGCTTGGAAAGTTATACAAACAGCTGTGGAAACAGCAGTGACATCTACCAGTGATTTAAACCAAATGGTTACAAAAAACCAATGGATTTCTTCAAGGTCTATTGCACTGATAGATTCTCGTAAACTCATCCCATCAGGTTCTGAATACGATGAAGAACGTAATGAAATCAGATCTAGGTTAAGCAAAAGTCTAAGGAACGATCGTGAGCAGTGGTGGGCAACGAAAGCAAGAGATAGAAAAAGCGGCGGCTATAGGGAACACAAGACAACTCTACAGACTAATAAAAGAAACTGGAATTAATAAATCAAGTGTAAGTCAGACCATTTCGGAAAAAGACGACACTCATCTGCTCCCAGTCCAGACGTTTAGAACGATGGGCGGAACATTTTAAGGAGCAGTTCAGTTGGCCTTCAGCTACTCTACAACTACCCTCTATTCTCAGACAGTATGAATGGAACATTGAAGTAGGTCCCCCAACTCTAGCTGAAGTTCAAAAGGCTATAGCTAATCTGAAACGAGGAAGGGCAGCTGGTCCAGACGGATGGGCCCCAGAGGTCTTTAAGGATGGTGGTCTAGTTTTAGCGACTAGGTTGACTAATATTTTAGCTAAAATCTGGGAGTTAGACGTTATCCCATCTAACTGGTCACAATCACTAATCGTCCCAATATTTAAGAAAGGGTCAAAATCATCCTGTGACAACCACAGAGGGATTAGTTTGACTAATATAGCATCTAAAATACTAGCCTCGATAATTATCGGACGCCTAACTAAGACTCGTGAACTGCAAACACGTGAAAATCAGGCTGGCTTCAGACCTGGCCGTGGCTGCATCGACCACATATTCACCATTCGTCAGGTTCTAGAACACAGGCATACTTATCGGCGTCCGACAATGGTGGTATTCCTTGACTTAAAAGCAGCGTTTGACTCTGTTGACCGAGAGGTTCTGTGGCAGTGTCTGTCATTGAAAGGCGTACCTCAGAAGTACATAAACCTTGTGAAAGCTCTTTACTCGAACACTACTAGTCGAGTGAGAGCTTATGGCGAACTGTCATCTGCTTTCGCAACCTCAAGTGGTGTCCGTCAAGGCTGTACACTTTCTCCATTGTTGCTTAACTTCATCATAGACAGTTAGGGGCGGCCAAACCAAAACGTGGCATCAGTCCACAAAGTCACTAACTTCTGGTCTGAGCCATGTTGGTATATGCAGACTACTTGGTTGGGGTCCGCGAAACTCTCGTAACCAATGGTTGGAGACTCTTGGTGACATGGCTTAGAATCGATCACAATGGCGTCGGTGTATGCACTCTCTTTCTTCCTTTAAACTAAGAGATTAAAATCGCTTCATACCTTTCTTTCTACGAACTGATTTTTTATTCCTGTACTGTCATTATATGTAATTTTTCTTTTATATATTACCACCACTGAATGTCCTTGAGCATTTCAATATATCATTTCAGAGTAAAGTGAAGGCGTCTAAATATTCATTTCTGTCAGGCCAAATCACAATCTTTGTCTAATCACATCATTCCTACTTGATTTTCACATCGATTATATTTTTAATGGAAAGTGAGCAAGGATTAATTAAACCTGCTACCTGGGGAAGAGCTTTTAGATCATGAATACCACAAGAGAATAAACACTTTCAAACTGTACTTTTTCACCGGACAAAAAGTATCTGTAGTCACTTCACATGCTTTACACAATCCAGATCCAAAATATTCTTGAAATATAGTTAGGAATATGAACCTACGATAGCCCATGAGAGTTGTCCGTCGGAAACATTCGAAAGCCCAACTTATGTGGATAACTTTTTGGATGGTTATGAAAGTGCAGTAGCTGAGGTTGGTTTTCAGGGTTTAAATCTATTAAGTCTTTCTGTAAATTGTTTAGCGCCTTCGTGTATTTATTTCTACTTTATACCTACGATACCTGCCGTAACGAAATCAGACACACTAAACATCTGTTTAATTATTGCTATCTTTTCATAATTGCTCGAACTCGATGTTAAAAGTGCATAATTATTACTGATAATGAGTGGGGAATATCTGGGGACGATCAAACCACTCTAAAACGCCATATTCAGTTGAATAGAAATGTTTTCGATAAGAAGTCTCTAAAGCTATCACGTGAAACACTGATTTCCAAATCTAGACTTGGATGAAGTAACGCAGATGTGGTTGGTCTCTGACATCACATCATGAAATGGGTAATAACTGTTGCTGGTTTATCATGTATTGATGCATTTCGATTTCCAAGAGGTAATCAGATACGATCTACACCAATGGAGATCATGTTGTGACAAAACGAAGAACACTTCTTGAATTTATTTCATATGAATATCAAAGATTTTTACAGCTGTCACCATTTAAATACCTATTTTGTTAGATATTTGAAATATTATATTTATCATCTTTTGATTATCATGATTTTGCTTTGAAATAAACATATGAAGTATAAAATAAAAAGCCCTTATCACACTGAACAAACCCAACACTCACAGACTTCGAGATGGTGGAGAAGATTTGTAGCTCAGGTGGATGATTTTGATGGAGGGAACAAAACTCCACCAAAACTCACAGACTTCATATTTATTAACTCGGTCAACTATGTTTTGGATGGGCAATACTGTGTACAGTTAGAAAGAAACAAGGTAAAAAACTAAACTTACATGTGTTTTAGTTCAGTTATCGAACTGACAACACATCGATCATCGATACCAACAGTGATTGCATATTTTCCTGAAAGCGATATTGATTGTACTTGTGAAGTATGAGCTTCTGTACCAGAAAACATTTCAGCTAAACCAGTTGATGTGTCCCAAGACGCCATTGATCCATCAGAACTTGCAGTAATTAAACGGTTATCAAGCGTGCTAAACCTTGCACAAGTTATATGAAGTTTATGCCCATGTATAGAAAGTTTTGGTGGGGCGAGAGATTTTGATCCAGGTGGGACATCAAATATATGAATCGAACCACTTAAAGATACAGCAGCAACTTTATTGCCTACCCATGTACAACCGAGCTGAAGAATAATAAACAGTTATAAATGTTATGAAGGAAAAAACCTAGGGTTACTACCTGTCTCAAGCTCGAGTAAAAGAGGATTGAGCATAAGGTTAGCAACCTCAGCTCATTAATAAAAAGTTCGACAAGAAGCATTAACCCGAAAAAAAGCACTTAAGCCATTGAAACTCTACCCTTTGAGTTGAAAGATCTTCACGTACAAGAGTTATGACGCCTCATGATGAAAGCCGAGATTTTTCTGAAGTCTCGAAGAATATGCCTATTCTAAAAATCAAAGCGACAATCAATAAAGGGAAATGAAATGTTTGGACAATTTGAGAGATCAAGAAGTCTATACAAATAACCGCAGAAGGGAGAAGGTACAACCCAACCTAAAACCGTTGGACATAATATGAACAAGAAAGACTAATTTCAGGGTAGTTGTTGTGTTCTGGTTCATGAAGAAGAAAATGCACTACGCACACAAGGAGTTGCACTAATGCCGTTTAAAGAAGTATAAAATGCACTTATAGAGTCAGAAACGTTTGACTACAGGACCATTAGAGAATCCTTAGAAAAAAGGAGTACAATGGATTTTGTCCAGTACTACGTACACCCACCTATTATAGAAGTGAAGATGATAAAAAATCAGTTTGATGGAAGGGTGAAGTTTATCCTAAAGAAATGTACAGAAAAAGACTTGAACAGCCTGATGGAAGACCTAAACGCCGAAATCGGAAGTAAATGTATTTAAGAGCGACATGGACTGGGAGAAAGAAACGACAATGATATATATATATATATATATATATATATATATATATACGCTTTCAAAAATATGGTTATGGGGGAAACATTTACCCTAAAAACGTCCACAGAAAGCCACATGGGTTTCACTGGACCACACTACAGTAAACCAGACCGATCACATAAGCACAAGTAGAAAATTCGAAAGGGCCATCGATCTAAGAATAAAGAAATGGTCTGACATCAGTCAGTCAGTCAGCTGCAACGTAGGACCAGGCACGTATATGCATCGGTCCAAGTTGCCATACCGCATTAGCACAACAAGATGAACACCGGATTCATAGGAGTAGTTAATTCAGTGGTGGTAATATATAGAAGAGTGTGTATAAGGAGATAGTACAGGAAGATAGAATTAGTTCGTAGAAAGAAAGATTTGAAGTGATTTTAATCTCTTAGTTTAAAGGAAGAAAGAGAGTGTATACACCGACGCCATTGTGAGCGATTCTGAGCCATGTCACCAAGAGTCTCCAACCATTGGTTACGATAGTCACGCGGACCCCAACCAGGCAGTCTGAATCTTCCAACATGGCTCAGACCAGAAGTTAGTGACTTCAAGCACTGACGCCACGTTTTGGTTTGGCCGCCCCTAACTTTCTTCCAATTATCCCCTACACTAGTCAGCATTGCGCGTCGTGGTAATCGGTGTTCAGGCATACGTAACATGTGACCCAACCATTTCAGTCGATGAAGATTCATGACCTCATCAACTGATTTACCATCATTCCCTAATACCCTGCGTCTAACCTCACTATTACTTACCCGATGATCCCAGAAGATGCGAACAATATTTCTGAGACATCTGTGATCAAATATTAGTAGCTTACGAGTATATTCTACTCTCAAAGGCCATGTTTCTCAGCCGTATAGTAGAACGGAACGAACTGCCGCGCAGTATACTCGTCCCTTAATTGATAGACGGATATCTCGCCTGCGCCATAGATGACGTAAGTTGGCAAAGGTCAAGCGAGCTTTTCGAATCCGTGCTGAGATTTCGTCAGACACAAACCCATTAGGGCTGATCAGACTTCCAAGATAAGTGAAGTTGTCGACGCGTTCGACTACTTCACTCCCTATCCTTAGTTCAGGTGTTGATGCAGACCAGTCCTGAAGCAACAACTTGCATTTGGAGGGAGAGAAGGGCATCCCAAACATTCTGGAATTGTTGCTCAGTGCTACCAAAAGACTCTGCATTTCATCAGCGTCTTCACCAAACAGGACTATGTCATCTGCGTATTCTAAGTCAATAAGTGGACCTCCTGGTAGGAGATCAATACCTGAGAATTCAGTCGATGAGAGCGTTATTTCCATCAGTAGATCTATGATGAAGTTGAACAAAAATGGAGAAAGTGTACAGCCTTGACGGACACCACTTGAGGTTGCGAAAGCAGATGACAGTTCGCCATAAGCTCTCACTCGACTAGTAGTGTTCGAGTAAAGAGCTTTCACAAGGTTTATGTACTTCTGAGGTACCCCTTTCAATGACAGACATTGCCACAGAACCTCTCGGTCAACAGAGTCAAACGCTGCTTTTAAGTCAAGGAATACCACCATTGTCGGACGCCGATAAGTATGCCTGTGTTCTAGAACCTGACGAATGGTGAATATGTGGTCGATGCAGCCACGGCCAGGTCTGAAGCCAGCCTGATTTTCACGTGTTTGCAGTTCACGAGTCTTAGTTAGGCGTCCGATAATTATCGAGGCTAGTATTTTAGATGCTATATTAGTCAAACTAATCCCTCTGTGGTTGTCACAGGATGATTTTGAACTTCAGCTAGAGTTGGGGGACCTACTTCAATGTTCCATTCATACTGTCTGAGAATAGAGGGTAGTTGTAGAGTAGCTGAAGGCCAGGAATTGAAGAGGGAGGTTGACTACAAATACAGTGGTCTTGAGTGCTGTTAGAGGTATGAGGGCGGTTATCACTTCCCGGTTGCCCACACCGTGGAAGGGTTCTGCTGGAGGTACCTGAAAAGGAAATTGGATTAGAATTGGTCATAGTGACCTGAGAGCGTGACCGCAGTGCCCAAGGGACAGCTGCTTGAGGTCGGTCACACACGACCTTTTTATGAGTAGTTTTAGTGTTAGCTCCGTACTTGTTGAGACCTTACCGCCGGAGACGGATATCCGTGGGATAAGGCGAGGTGTGCATTTTTAGGGTCGACCTTTTCTAACCCCACCCCTCCTTGTGGGAATGCAGCATCGCTGTTATGCTGGTTGTCTGAAGGAAACACCTTACTGCTGTTACACCTCTGTACAGTCAGCAGTACGACTTCGCCTTCGGACCTTGGTTTTGTTGCTTTTAGTCTTACCGCTCTTCAACCGACCTGTCTGACATGGTAGGACCTTGAGGAACGGTTGTTCCAGCCAGTATAGCTCAGTTGCTCCATCACGATAGGCAAGCCCGACCACCACGTCAAGGTAGCAATAACGGTCATGACTTCAGGTCACCACCTGGTGGTGGCCAGGCTAAAAGTGAAGATAAACAAACATTGTACAATAGTACGAGCAGCACTACAAACGTTTATTCAGGCCTTTCTTTGAGATGGTGATGGCGAACACTCAGCATTTAGAATATTAGATACATGACCTTCCTACAAATTCATCAAACCAGAAAAGGAAAGAATGATATTATAGGATGCAATCTTACTGCTCAAAATAGTGAACCACGATCAGTTGCACAGAAACAAAGTTGTCTTCACCAAATCAAGCCATATACGCTTAAACATTAATGACTAATGAATAACGTTGATACTTCTAATTTTTATACCCCTCGTAGCACTTGACTTCAACTATGATGAAATATAAGTAGTAGTCAATAGAATTTTGATTCTAACAAACAGATATCGATAGTTTCAGCACCCCAAATACATTGACATCATCGTTCGGAGCTCCAAAAATGAACCGAACTGCAAAGTCGTGCATTAATGACATCTTTCAGATGCATTTTAAGTGAAGAGTGGTGTCCGACTAAGCAGCTTACTCTCGCCTTTTTTCGGCCCTTCTCTACTGGATTATGAAGACATCTACAGCTCAGGGGAGACATGGGATTTAATGGACATCTTGTACGCAGCTAGATGATTTAAACTTTGCAGATGACTTAGCCCTGTTATCACATCCATGAGAAAAAAGGCAGGCGAAGACAGTCGGTGAAGCAGCGGCTTCCGCAGAAATAGGTTTCAACATGCGTAAGAGGAAAGATATGATCTTGAATTATAATGGTCAGTATCAACCGGATCACACTTGATTGTGAAGCGGTGGAAGGGGTAAGGCATTTACATATCCGAGTAGTGCGTATGGGATACAATGAGGATCTGATGCAGATACCAAGGTACGAGCTGACAGAGCAAGGGCAAAACTCCTACAATTCAAGAATATCTTGGACACAAAAGAACTCTAACGCAAGGTCGGAGTCAGAATTTTCAATCCTAACGTTAAGACAATTATATTTTACGGGGACGAAACGTCGACAACCACCACAACTATAAAGAATAAACTAGAGGTACTTATAGATAGCTCCCAAATGCCCTGGTACGGCCGAGAGTGGGGTGGGTTCGCCCTCCATCTCGAAATACTCTTACATGGCCACGCGTATATAGCCTCTGTCAGGGAAGTCCTACTCACTGCCTTCTCGTGGCGGGGGTGTTGTTTACGAAAATGAGAGGACGAAAAGCGAATTTCCGGCGCTTTAACCGGATCGCAAACCAATGGTGCACATGGGCTACAGTATCCTGCGGGAACAAATGGCGTATGAACCAATTTATTGGTCATCGGCTTCCATAAGACTGCATCCTCTCACGATGCTCCACTGCCTTGTGGGTTGGACCTTTAGGTTGAAGGCTCGTGGTGTGGCCCCCTAAGAAAACCATCTGCTTCGGTCTGGGCACCCGGGCAGTATCTCAGCCTACACACAAACATAATGATAATGAAAATGATGATATTCACTGAAAACCATATTCTCGCTGCGATTTACTGTCAAACAATTCACATTATTATTATAATTATTATTATTACTATTATTATTATTGTGGTTATTATTATTATTTACCACGTCATTTATTCACTCTCTTTCATTCCCACTTTGCCTATCCTTATTTTTCGACTCATACAGCAGCTCGCCTATGGTGGAAATTCGGCTCTATCTAAACGTTCTCGAGTCACTGCCTGATTGACAATTGTATGTTACCATCGAATCTGAGTACTCAAGCAGTTTTTCTGAAACCACGTGCACCATTTAAACTGGCTGCCTTTAACGTTCGCACACTTATGCAGGTCGGACAACAGATAGGGCTGGCTATGTCTTTGGAAAGTCTTAATATTGACGTGTGTTGTCTATCCGAGACCCGTATTCAAGACTCTGGTGAAGTGCTACAAATTCTCTCTCTATCTGTCACTTCAAAAGGCTTGTTTTATATGCGTTTACCCGGAGACCCTGTGGCATCTTCGTCTGGTCTTGCTGGCGTTGGTGTCACACTAAGCGCTAGAACTGAGGCAGCACTAATCGATTGGATCCCAATTAACAGTCGGTTATGTGCCGTTAGGTTAGAAAGTACCATCAAATTGAGAAGAAATCGGCGTGAGAAACGATGTCTTTTCGTCGTCTCCGCCTATGCCCCGACAGATTGCAGCCCGGATGCAATCAAGGATGAATTCTACCACCAGTTAACTGTTCTTCTCCAGAAAGTGCGTTCGACAGATATTGTAGTACCAGCCGGAGACTTGAATGCTCAGGTCGGGCGTCTAGGCACAGAAGAGAGTCGTTTAGGTGGCCGATGGGGACTTGTTAGTCGCAGGACAGATAACGGGGAACGTCTACTGCAAATATGCACAGACCACAACCTGTTTCTGGCTAGCACTAACTTTCGGCACAGTCGTCGCCGATGTGCCACCTGGCGTCCCCCCTCTACATCTCAAGCCTGAACTCAGATTGATCACATCGCGATCAGCTACCGCTGGCGTGGTTATGTACAAGACTGTCGCTCCTTTTGGAGTACCTATCTGGAATCTGATCATGCTCTGGTCTGAGCCAATCTTACCTTACTTTTTAGTGGACAACGAAGTGACCGCCACCAAAGGATTGATGTTAGCAAGCTGGTTGCAACTTCTGTTGCTAGTAATTACCGAACCGAGCTGGCTTCTAGGCTAGCTACCATTCCACGGAAAAGCATAGATGAGCATTGGTTGCGATTGAACGACGCCATGAAAATGGCGGGTACAGTCTGTTGTGGGTTCGCGAAACGTCCCGCTTATAAGAACTGGGTTTCCTCTGGTTCCTTACAACTCATTGAAGCCCGTTGGTGTACTCCGGGTGACCGTGAGTTTGACCACAAACGAAGGATGTTACGTAATGAAATCGGGCAAAGCTTGCGTAAGGACCGAGAAGCCTGGTGGTCGGAGCGTGCTAATGAGCTAGAAGCAGCAGTTGCATCTGGTAATTACCGGAAGCTCTTCCAACTCATCCGAGCCACTGGCAGCAAGAAGTCTGGTGTGAGCGAAACAATCTGCGAGGATGACGGAACGCCAATCACTAACATCCATCGACGTCTTGGACGATGGGCAGAATTTTTCGAAGGGCAGTTCAGTTCAACTGGCCTGTTGCTCCGGCAACATCGGTCAGACTGTCCTGCCCTCCATGGCCGGTGACGACTGATCCACCAAATGAGGCGGAAGTACGCAAGGAACTCAAACTCTTGAAACGCTACAAATCACCGGGCCCAGACGACTTACCTCTGGCTCTTTGTAAAGATGGTGGTGACTTTCTGACTAAGGAACTGACGACGTTGTTTGCGAAGGTCTGGGAACTAGAGAGTGTACCAACGTTATGGAATGAGTCGATAGTTGTCCCTATCTTTAAAAAGGGCTCACGTCGTTCCTGTAACAACTATCGGGGGATAAGTCTACTTCCGATTGCGTCCAAGCTATTGTCTTCCGTCATACTTCGTAGGTTGTTCAAAACCCGAGAAAGACTGATTCGCGAGGAGCAGGCTTGGGTGTGTTCTGGTCGAGGATGTATTGATCATATCTTCACCCATTGCCAAATGTTAGAACACCGCCATACTTATCAATGACCAACAATCGTAGTGTTTCTTGATATCAGGGCTGCCTTCGATTCGTTGGACAGAACTGTTCTCTGGGATTGTCTATTGAAGAAGGGTGTGTCTGAGAAGTTTATTAACATCCTAAAAGCCCTATATACAAACACCTCAGGCAGAGTGAGGGCATACAACCACCTCTCTCCATTGTTCCATTTAAGCAGTGGGGTTAGGCAAGATTGCCCAATCTCACCACTCCTCTTCAACTTTGTCATTGATGACATTCTGGAAACAGCTCTGATGGATGTAAGTAATGGCAGTGTAGATCTGTTGCCTGGAGAGAGACTTCTCGACCTTGAATATGCGGATGATATTGTCTTACTGTGCGATAATGCCCAAGCTATGCAATCCGCACTTAATCAGTTGGCAATCAGTGTCCGTAGGTATGGTATGTGCTTTTCACCCTCGAAGTGCAAAGTACTTCCAAAAGACTGGCAGGATTCTAATCCTGTACTAACTCGGGATGGTGAGCAGATAGAAGTAGTCGAGAAGTTCGTGTATCTGGGTAGCTGCATAAGTGCTGGTGGTGGCGTGAGTGATGAGATCAATGCACGTATAGTGAAAGCCAGAGCGGATTATGCCGATCTGGGCCATCTTTGGCGCCTTTGTGATGTTAGTCTGGCTCTAAAAGATCGGATCTACGACGCGTTGGTGAGAGCAGTTCTTCCCTATGCTTGTGAAACCTGGCCTCTCCGAGTTGAGGATGTTAGACGACTCTCTGTGTTTGATCATCGTTGTCTCCGAAGGATTGCTGACATCCAGTGGAACACCATGTCAGTAATGCAGAGGTTCGGCATCGTGTGTTCGGTCACAGAGACGACAATCCAATTGGTGTTACCATCTTGAAACACCGACTTCGGTGGCTTGGACATGTTCTACGAATGTCGTTCCAGAGAATTCCTCGTCGTGCATTATTTGCCGACTCTGGGACTGGTTGGAAAAAGCGGAGAGGTGGTCAGTGTATGACATGGTGTCGTGGTATGAAAGAAAGCTGCAAAGGGCTAGCTTCTGTTGGTCCTTCACGACTCTCTGGCTGGGGTCCGAGAGGTGGTGTAACACAGTGGCTAGAGACGTTATCAGATATGACTATAAACAATAACCTAATACAACAGAGAACAAATCGGATGCCAGTTAAGTATGGAATTAGGAAATCACGCTGGAAGTGGATAAGATACAGTATACGGAAACTATAAAACAGCTGCTACTTGGAGATCCCCAGTCTGAGGCTTATGCCTTAAGAAGCTTACGTTTATTTATTTATTTATTTGAACACATAAGTATAGGTACAGGGAGGCACCAAAATACATATGCGCCACACAAAGCTCAATTGATTTGTGTGAGGGCTGTGATACTGCCCAAATGCCCAAACCGAAGCAGGTGGTTGTCTTAGGGGGCCACACCCCGAGCCTTCGACCTGAACGTCTGACCCACAAGGCAGTGGAGCATCGTGAGGAGATGCAGTCCCATGGTAGCCGGTGACCAACGATTGGTTCATACGCCATTTGTTCCCGCAGGATACTGGAGCCCATGTGCACCATTGATTTGGGGTCCGGTTAAAGCGCCAGACATTCGCTTTTCGTCCTCTCATTTTCGTAAACAACACCCCCGCCACGAGAAGGCAGTGAGTAGGACTTCCCTGGCAGGGGCTATATACGCATGGCCATGTGAGAGCATTTCGAGAGGGAGAGCGGACTCTCCCCACTCTCGGCCGTACCAGGGCATTTGGGGGCAAGAAGCTTACGTAAACAGTAAGTAATGAGATAAACTGTAAGCTACTATTAATTGAAGAGACAAAAACTTTTTAAAAATATATTTACAAAAAAAATTAAGAAAACAGCCGTCAAAGTAGTATAATTGCGATTTTACTATTCATTACTAGAAAATTACGAAACAGTCTAAAGTCAGTCATTTTCTTAAGTTTAACTCGAATAGTCAATACGAGTCTTTAAAATGAATTAAATTTCAAAAAAAAAATATACGAATAGTGGGATTAATACCAACCAATATCAAGCAATCATAGAGTAAAACCAATTGTCTTAGTATCGATGAATAAAACATGAGGTGGTTTGGGAATATATGGTGGATTTTATACCAGTTTTTGACTAAATACTAAAATTGGCTGAGACATGCACACAAATCGAGAATTAAAGAGTTGGTTTATCTAACTCAGAGGTTAAATGTTAGTGTCCATAAGGTGATAATATAGTTTTATAGAAAACATTTGACAAAATACGCATAGAATAGTCATTAAACTAAAGATATACAACTGTGTCGCAGTCTAGAAAAGTGCAGTCCAATGGTTTTTAACTAGTCTATTTGGATGAAAGCTAGTAAACTCTTCAGTTTTGAATTGATTACACAGTCATAGTAATGCCGATATTAGTCATAAAATTAGGAATTTAAATATACATTATACGAAACAGTAACTAGTATCAGTTCACATACCAGACTATAACGCCACCTGTGTCGAGGTTGATTACAGTTACAGTTGAGTGGTGACCAACAGTGTTCAATGGAATTAATTAGTTCTCGTTACCCTACTATAAAGGTGGAGTGGAGTTTTAGTGGTTTAATCACACTAGTAACAGGTGAACTACAATTTCACACCAAGTTTACCAACAAAATCTGAACATCTGTTAAGACACTAAATCTTTTCATGAGTGTGGTTTAAAACCCAATGAATTAAACCGGATGTATTTATAGAGAAAAAGACTAAGTAAATTAATCAACATTGAATCCTGATCAATAAATTACTGTCTATGATAATAAACATGACGGTCTGACTGTGTATTTATTTCTATATCCATACAACACACCAGACTCCAGTAGTCATGGCCAGATTCTTACTCATTTACAATAGCATAATAATTCAAAACAGGCTTCCTATATATTTTTCATCATAACTGACTTGAAACAATAAAGCCAGTTCCGAACATTTTAAAATTTTTAACACAAAGATCAAAGTATTTCAATTACTATTACACTAACAGTATATGTACACCTAATTAGGTTATTATGGGACCAGTGAGTCAAATGAAATTAAAAATCAATAACCAAACTTACTAGCATATTCATTAAAACATTTTCAAATGAATACTTTGAAAGATAAGAGAGAGTTTTGGCTTCAACACTCCACAACTTGATAGACTTGTCTGCAGAAGCAGAAACACACAGAGGACTTTGCCGTGAAAACGAAATAGCATAGACTCCTCCCTCATGTGCTGGACTTCCAACTTCAGATAGTTTCTCACCACTTTCACCGTCATGAAGGAATATCTAGGACAAATCATGTTTTAGAGAACGATTACCTTCCCATCTGCCCCACCGGAAACAAAAAATGATCCATTCAACGAGTACCGAACCACATTGACAAAACCTTTATGGTTCTAGAAATAATGTAAGAAACAAACATGACATCACACTTGAAAAGAGTTCTTGAATGAAAATGGAGGGCCCTCAAGGAAGGTCACTAAGCCCTCATCGTTTCCAGTAATGGCACGGTAGGGTCGAACAGGTCGAAAATCGACGGAATTGATACTTCTGCTCATGCCTGTAACTGAACCCACAGACGTCCCTGTTTCAACCATGAATACTGCTCCAAACCTTAAGGTAAAAAAATACTCGAGGCAGGATTTACTTTGAAGCACTGTTGCCACCCACAAGCATACGAGCGTTATCTGAAGTCCAGGCCAAATCATTTATAGGACCGACGAATGGTTGGTATTCATATTTTAGCACATGCTCCTGGTTGATAGTGTCCCATATCCGTACTTTCCCATTGTTATCTAAGACCTCATAAAATCTTAAAAGTTATCACCTGCCGAAGCTATATAAAATCCACTGGGTGAATATTTTGCAACATTTACAGCTACTGAATGCTGAGTATACATATCGTTATCAGCAGGATTCTAAAAAAAGTAACAGAACAGAACAAAACTACCTCAATTGAGCGAATAACGACACTGTTTCCAGTGACATATATAAGCTTTTTGCCTTTGGGGTCTGCATCGAAAATAAGTGATTTGCCCCTAACTACTCGAGGGAGTGGAGGAAAGATCTTTTCTACAAACTCAATTAAGTAGATACGTTTAAACTAACCCAAAGTATACATTACCAAAACCTACTAATGCCAAAAAAGGTGCGATCAATACTGACTTAGTAGATACTGGGGTATAAACCTCACGAGTTCACCATGAAAACAAGTTCGAAGTGGCGCCAACCTTGTCTTGACTTCTTGTAGGTCACTTTAGATAGAACAGAAGCTTTCAAACGACCCTAGATGTTTGACAGCTTCAAAGTAAGCAACTTAAGTGAAGTTGTTGACTTATTCTGGAGTTAAGACTGATAAGTCATCGTTTTAGCCTGATGAATCGATCACGATTACTTACTTACTTACGCCTGTTACTCCCAATGGAGCATAGGCCGCCGACCAACATTCTCCAACCCACTCTGTCCTGGGTCTTCTTTTCTAGTTCCATCCAATTCTTGTTCATTTTTCTCATATCTATCTCCATTTCCCTGCGTAATGTATTCTTTGGTCTTCCTCTCCTCCTTCGACCTTGAGGATCCCATATGAGGGCTTGTCTTGTGACGCAGTTCGGTGCTTTCCTCAATGTGTGTCCTATCCACTTCCAGCGCTTCTTCCTGATTTCTTCCTCCACTGGGATCTGATTTGTTCTCTCCCACAGTAGGTTGTTGCTTATAGTGTCCGGCCAGCGGATCTGAAGTATTTTGCGTAGACAACTGTTAATAAACACCTGTATCTTTTGGACGATGGATTTCGTAGTTTTCCAGGTTTCCGCCCCATACAGTAGAACTGTCTTGACATTTGTATTGAAAATTCTGACTTTGGTGTTGGTTGCTAATTGTTTTGAGTTCCAGATATTCTTCAGTTGTAAATATGCTGCTCTTGCTTTGCCAATCCGTGCCTTCACATCTGCATCAGATCCACCGTGTTCATCGATGATACTGCCCAAATATGTAAAGGTTTTTACATCTTCCAAAGCTTCTCCGTCAATTGTGATCGATCACGATACTAAAAGCGATTTTGTGGTATAGAAATAAATGTCAGGAATGTAAAATATTGTTAAGAGGTTATATAGAAGTTAGGGCTTTCGTTTACTCACAAACCGAAAATGGTTATAATTAAAACCCGTAAGACCCACATTTTGATCGCGACTATGTTTGCTACTCTAATGAAAATTGATGAGTGAGTACAGATCAAGGGTATTGATACTACAGAATGAACTTAAACTAATGGGGTCACGAGATTTTTCCGTAAAGACTTACCGCTTTTGAACAGTACAAATAAACGAGAGGCCGAAAGGAACTAAAGCCGAGGTTAAGCGATGGCAAAAACACTTCCAGAAGAGTGAGTTTTTGAGGCTTCTGCAGTGAGTGATGCCGAAGCCACGTTGGGTGCAACACGAAGTCGTTTTATTGGTCTCTTGGTCTTTTACTTTAATGCTGGAGGCTTTCTCAACAAGAGATTAGAAATAAGTGTACAGACGGGTCCCATGTAGCCGGACGTAGTCCCAGTCTCAGACACTTGACTACTGCAGTTTATAGACAGTAGGGAACTCGTTTTTGAAGGCTTCACATTCGCAAGAGTCGACAGAATACGGAAGAGTGGAAAGGGAGTAGTTCTATTCATTAGAAGTTATATTTCATGTGATGTTATTGATAACATGTCCAACGAAAGTGTGGCGTGTGAATTAGTTAGTTGCCGCTTGAAAGGCAGTGGATAAGAACTGCTGATATTTTCCGTATACCACGGTCCAAACTGTAAGGTGGATGGGGTCTCGCTAGGTGGTCTCAATACTTGGACTTCAAATATATATTTTTTATATATTATTCTATCTCCAACCCAGACATGTTATTTGGAAGCGCTCAATATCATGTGGCTGTTGTCACAATAGGACGAGTCAATGTGGATAATGATATGAGTCCCATGTAAGATCTTATAGATTAGGTAGTAGCATCATGATAAATCTACAATTTTGGGATTGAGTCTATTATGAAAGTAACAAACACCGAATTAGACCATAATCACACATCACAAGCCTCCATTGTATGCTACCCTTAGGTAAAATTGACCATGCAGTTCTAGTCTTTGATTTCCATGTAATCATCAATGAAGGGGAAGTGTCGTCCCAAACCAGACTGAACGTCTGAAAAGCGAATGTACAATATATTATACACTCAGAATCCTCAGTAGATTTGTCGGCAGAACCAGATTAACCAATCGAAACTGCCTGGGATGTATTCATAAATCTGTGCACTAAATTCACTGCACTTCACATCGTTTGGGCTACGTCAATGGATTCGAGAAACTCCCCACTGTGATTTAGCAAAGATGTCTGTAACGCTCATTGTAAGCGGAGAAGAATGCGTAAGAGAACTGAGTTACAGTGGGCTGGCAAGACAGTCTCAATATAAAAGAGCTCGAAATATTTTTTCCTCAACTCTCTGAAAGTCTAGAAGATTGTACGAAAAAAAAGCTTGTTAAGGAGTCTATGGAATGCCCTAAATGCTTATACTCTTATATAATACAATGAAATAGAAGAAGCGGAAATTCCCCAGAATCAGGGACATACAGTAGTACTGCATCATTAGTGGAGGACGATTATGGTAAAGCTCAGGTAGACTCGAACCTTAAAAGCAATGTATATAACGTAGAGATGTCTTCTTCTTTAGTTCATACAAACCCTCACACACATAATGGACACAATTACCATCAAAAAACTTGATGTCTTTGGTCTGCCTTATGAGTTTGATATAGGCAAATCAATAGGACTCTATGAAATGCAACCTAGGTTCCTAAATGAATCAGAAAATTTCGCCACGACTCCATTAGATAAAAGTATCAATCTATCTGTAACCCATAGTCGATTACCGAAAGACAAAGGAACGCCGCTGTAAGTCATGTCTTCGAAACAGACACGAGACATAAACATAAGAACTATCGACCCACAGGCCTAACCAGTGTGATTATCAAAATTTTAGAAAAGATTTTTCGGAAGTTTTTTAGATATTTCAACGAAAACAAGACTCGTTCTGGGAAGCAAAATAGCTTTAGAATTGGTTTTCTCTGTCTCATTAACTTATTAACAGCCTGTGAGAGTTTGTTTGCTTGTAAAGAGTAAAAGTTGCCTATAGACAAAGCCCATATTGACTTCACCAAAGCTTTTGATAACGTTCCCCACAATCGACTGTTATATAAGTTAAACAATATCTGGGTTGGAGTCGATTTATTAGCACAGATAAAGGACTTACTATTTGGACAGCAACAAAGAGTGCGGATGAACTCAAAGTTGTTTAGCTAGAAAGCAGTGATAAGCGGAGTGCCTCACGGTGCAATTTCGATGCCAGTGTCGCTTCTCTTGTATGTAAATGATTTCCCCAGTCTCTTATTATCATCTGTCTTGCTATATGCTGACGATATGAAGATATGAAGAGCGATAAAAAGCAAGGTGATAGGGTAGGGTTTTGAAATGTCTTGAAAAAATTATCTAAATCGTTTGAAATTTGACGGTTGCAGGCTCAAAGAACCACAACTATGTTGGTTCCAGGAATAGCAAAACACCCTTGATAAGAGAATATAACTTGGTAGTATTTTTCAAAATGAAGTCTTGGGCAAACACCAAAAATAGCTTTTTTATTAACTCCGGATCCAGACAACTAACTCTCTTGCAAAGATATATCAAAACGAACCATCCTTTTCTGTCCGTGTAATGCCAATGATAAGAGAAGCTCAGAGTATCACAGACTGATACTTAGCAAAAGGAATTCCCAAGGGATTACATGATTAGTTGGATATCACAGCTGCTGACAATTAACATTCTCCACTTATTGATGTCGGGAGAGGAGGAAGTCATTGTTAATTCAAAGATACGTACAATATAATTATTTTCAGAGAGTCGAAACATCATCTGAGCCAACTGTTTTTCTCCAGACTACACTATCACCTACGTAAAAAATTGAGAGTCTAGAAGGTTACGCAGGTCACTTGCAAGCAGTAGGAAGAGGTGTGGTCTAAGGACATAGCCTAATGACACTCCGGTCAGTATAACTATTCTCTTTTTCCAATCGGAAAGTAATATGCCCTTCATTAAGGAAAACTTTAGAAAAGTAATAAAAGGGAAGCAAAGAAAGACCACAAATTCTTTCAGTAATCCGTGTCGTATACCACATGAACCATAGAATTTTTGTATGTTTATGCATCCCAGAACCTCCTTCATTTTAAATTCAGACTTTATGAAGTTTAGGTCACCATATGAAAAAATGGGGTGAGAGTCTTTGGACAGGGATTTAAGGATCTGAGTATCGTAAGGCTGAAATCTTCCGCCTAGCAGCCTAGCAATCATATAATGAGAGCTGTTCACTGTTATGGAATTCCAATCTGGGGCATTCAGCGTGGTATATACCCTCTTATTCATGATGTTGTATAAAGAACGATGGTTAATTTCCATATACGTAATAAGACGAAACCATTTAGTTATTATATCTAATTTGACTACAATTACAAAATAACCCTTAGTATTCTGATCGGTCAGAGCCTTCATCTAGAGTGTGTCCAGTAAAACTAATTAATGTTGAAGACGATAGAGCTATTTACTTAGGAGATTTATTTGTCATTACGGAACAACTGTCTGATATACATCGCATATTTGATGATGAATATTTATTAACTCATCGACGCTGGTGAAGAAGTTATAACCGCCCTGTGAATACTAGCCATCTTATACAACACTCTACCTTCAATTTACAGAAGGAAAAAGGAAAATCGACCCCCACATACAGCACAAATACGTCTACCTACACATGAGCTCTCAGAAGCCCGTCTACCAGATCTTTGATACAGATCTACTACAACACCATAACCTACTAGTCGACCCAATTTAACGGAGATGATAATTTAAATACGAGAATGAAAGAAGCTGAGAATTGCAGGGAGGTAAATTTTGCACAGAGGTGGGTGGAAATATAGGAACGTGAGACTTCTAGGTTGATTATCCAGGGGGGACTCGTCTTGGATCAAGCTGTATCATAGTATGAACACGACGCTTATTTGTGCACCCACAGCTAGTAGTGTCCTTTAAAAATAACACTGTCAAATATATACACAACTATTTAATGGGGGTGGTAATTTACTGTTCCAACAGCATTACACATACACCGACGCACGATTTTTATTTAGTGACTTAAAGTTAAGGATTCTTCCACAACTGTCTAAAACAATTTAAACAGGACGGCCCACTAAAACTGGGAGGCGCCGAGTCAAACGCTAGTAGCAAGTCTGATGGCCTAACTGGATCCGTAGGAACAGAGTAGAATATTTTTCAAGAGGATGCATACATCATTAGTCCGTTCGTTATTCTCATAGCTGAAGACGGAAAATCACTTTGAGATTTTTGACGGGAACAGTCTGCTACCCTTTGTTATCGAGGTCAGTCCATAATTGTCTCTTTGTTTATTTTGAAAATCAGTTTGAGGTTGTGGGGTTATTAGAAATCAGAAACATGAAAATTCACATGACCTCATAGTTATCCACAAACCTTTTGTCAAGCACATTTTTGTCCGAGCATCTTAAATATTGGTGTAGTGTTTCGTGTGATTTAATCCAGAGTATGCCAATTATTTGTGATGGGTTTCTAGAGGTTTGAGTAATTTTCTGTACACGTACAGAAGTGTCTGTTGGTGCCAATTCTCCTCCCCCAAATACAACTGCACCTACTCTATCGCTTGAACGTAAACATTCCGACCGGGTCGCACTTATTCGTGTAGTACCACTTATAATCAGTTTAAACAACCCAAATGTATCTTCCTGTTGCTGCAATCAATGAGTGTTTCTAATCCTCGTTCTTTACCCCTCATGCTAACCTATTTTACTATTCTCTCTAGTTTTTCGCCATCGCCTATATCTATTTGTTCGCCTGGGTAACAAAATCTAGTCTTTGCACGAATGTGTAAAACTTTGTACCTTCCTGCTGTTCACTCTGACCGAAGTATTATTTTTTTTCTTAACTCAGCAACTTATTAAATTTCGTAGTTTTTCTATCTGATGGCTTATATGGTAGCCTAAATGGAAGTTGGGTTAGCCAAATTAAATTCTGATTATATGTTAATTAAAACCAAAAAAAAGCGGACTGTCACTGTTCACCGCAGCTATATTCTTATAAACTTGTTCCTATTCGACTCCGTAACTACTGACGTGCACTAGTAGACGACTGTGCGGATATCACCCATTATCCAAAATATGTACTTGTTTTTAACGTGTTTACATTAGCTCCTGAATATAAACAGTAAGTCCAAATAGTACGCTTGTTCAGTCTCAGAAAAAAATCACTGTAAATCCTCAACCTTAAATTTTACCACAACTTATCTTGCACCTGTCTGAACAACTCAATATTTATGCTTTCATTATTTGATATTATCTTAATCTAACCACTTTTAGTCCCTTTCCCACACATTCACATTATACCCTAAATCGGGATACTTGGTAATTGCAATCGTACAACTGACTGCAATCTTCGGATATTCTTAATCTCAGTATGTGATTTGTGCTTTTTATGTCGTGTTATACTTTTAGTACCAGGGTCACTTAGTATTTCTGTGAAACAATTAAACTGTTTCTTTTGTACTTATAGTAGATTTATGCTTATTAATTACTAACATAGTTCGTTTAATCATATTCTTAACACTTTAAGATACTAAACCAATCATCAGTCGTCCGTTTTTTATGCAGCCAGACGTGGTATGTTTGAATCTTGATATGACAATACCAGGTTAAAATCCTTTAGTATTTTATTCGGGTGTTGGAATATTACTAGATAGACTAGTAGTCAAAAAAGCACCAAGATGAATTTTCTGGCATTACCTGGCATTTTACCTTATCTTTCCAGAATTTTGAAGTATACGAACATCCTTTAAAAACTGAGGATACAGCCCAGGAAGTAAGAACGTTAAAGTTGAACATCATACTGTGGATGTCTCATTTATTATTTATTATTTATTTTAACACATAGGTATAGGTACAAGGATGCACCAAGTACATATGCGCCACACAAATCTCAATTGATTTGTGTGAGGGCTGTGATACTGCCCGGATGCCCAAACCGAAGCAGGTGGTTTTCTTAGGGGGCCACACCCCGAGCTTTCGACCTGAAGATCTGATACACAAGGCAGTGAAGCATCGTGAGGAGATGCAGTCCCATGGTAGCCGGTGACCAACGATTGGTTCATACGCCATTTGATCCTTCAGGGTACTGGAGCCCATGTGCACCATTGGTTTGGGATCCGGTTAAAGCGCCGGACGTTCTCTTTTCGTCCTCTCATCTTCGTAAACAACAGTAATGCCACGAGAAGGCAGTGAGTAGGACTTCCCTGGCAGAGGCTATATACGCGTGGCCATGTGAGAGCATTTCGAGAGGGAGAGCGGACTCTCCCCATTCTCGGCCGTACCAGGGCATTTGGGGGCTGTAGATGTCTCACAATAAATACATTTGAGATATTGTTCATGTTTCAACGAAAGCCAGGCTTATTTAGGGAAATGATCTTACAAGTCTATGAAGCCTATAGCTTGACTGTACTAACTAGGGTGGTCTTAACATGTTACACCTATCCCATAATGCATGCAATTTTTAACAAGTAGTTACCCGCAAAACATATATAAGGTCTTCAAGTTATATATATGTTGTGCGAATCTTGACGTGTTCATTGTACCGTTCGCCAAAGCTCAAGTTAAATGTTACTCTAGAAAATCTCGTACTTGTGTTTTTTGGTGTTAAATTAGGAAGATCTTAATTGTAGACTCTTAATCATCAGCTTTAGGGTGCTTTTAATCGTACATTTAAATAATACATCATGTGTTTGTTTATTAATGTTGTTGTCTAGAGCTTTGAGAAAAGCAGTATAATTTGGAGTAAATTATTCGAATAATAGTACGTTTTAGAGGTAACTTTGATACCTTTGTCAGTGATAAGTTATCTTTGGAGCGGTACAAGTTTTCAGTCCATTGCAATTCGTTTTTTTAGATTGTAGATTTTCTGGGTAATGGAGATTTTGTGCAATTACTCTCAAAATCCAGTGGTTGGTTCTTCAAAAAGCAGTCACACGGAGCATGAACCAGTCCCAGTATCAGCCAAAGTGCAAGATATCACTGCTTCTCAGCGACGAAATATCAATTGCACCAGTTCGAATATCTTCGGTGGTCTTCAAAATGCCCATCTTCCTGTAGTCCCTAATCCGAATGTCTTATTTAAGAACGAACTGACAGAAAATTACTCCGACAATTTGGCGCCGCGTATATCACCATACCTTCTTGGGATGCTCCAGTGTAGACCAGTTTCCTTACCTCTTACTCGGAACGTTGTGAAAGAGGGATGGCTTATGAAACGCGGCGAACATATTAAAAATTGGCGACGTCGATATTTCAAATTACGGGAAGATGGGACATTTTATGGATATAAAATTCAGCCTAAAGTTGGTTTCAAATTTGTTTCGAGCTATTTTTGTATTTATCGTGATATATATGATTAATTATTACTGTTTTACTTGAGTAACAATACATAATGTCAATCATTATCCATATATCGAAAGCTAATCGGACGTACCTGGAAAAGTTTTGGTTATTGTGAATTCTTTATTATCATACATCACATTAACTCGAAGCGTATTACCTTATCCCTGGTAATCTCAGTCATTTATCAAGTTCATGGAGTCAACGCAGTTCTGTAAAGTATGATCTTAATAGTTTGCTCAATGAAGTTAGTGTATTTTGTTGTCAGAACGTAACTTTGTTGATGGCCGAAGAGGCAAACTACAGACAGTGTGTAACAACTAGGCGTAACCTATGATACATATAAAACATATTATATCGTCGCATCAATTACAGGCTATCTAATATTTGCTTTTTTTTCTACATTCAAAGATATGGCTATATTGTAAATAAGTAATATATTTGTAATATCCCATTGAGTAGAAAAATTAGATTTTCTGACGTTTCGTGACTTAGTGTAAGTCGCTTCTTCAAACAATAAGTAACCAAATTAAAACTAATCCAGGTACTATTTAAACTTGGGTTAGTTTTAGTTTACTTATTTATTCTCTGAAGAAGTGACTTACTAATAAGTCTTGCAATTTGAACACAATACTCGGTTCCTAATCTATTCTTTGAAACCCCCAAGCTAGAACTATACGGCGACCTGAACACGAGAGAGAAGGCGAAAAGTATACGAAAGTACTTTACTCCAAGGTTCATTCCAATACAGAAAAGATAGGGTTTTTATGATATTCTAAGTGTCCTTGGGTTGCTCGAAGATTCTGGAATGCTACTAAACATAGTAACAGTATAGCAATCAGCCAATCAGAACCTCTACATGTGACGTTTCACTTCCTTGATGTTTCTGGCTAAAACTTCAAGCGAACGTTGATTGGATAAAATTCTTCTTAATGCTTCCTGATCCTTGTTCAGACTTCTTAAGGAAACCGGTATCAGGAACCCAACTGTTAGCGAAACAATCGCAGAGAAAGATGGACATATTATTCATTCTCAATCCAGGAGATTGGATCGATGGGCAGAACACTTTAGGGATCAGTTCAACTGGCCTTCAGCCACGCTTCGGTTTCCCACGATCTCCAGTCGACCTGAATTGCCAAGTTGATGTCGGCTCTTCAGCTCTACGAAATTGAAAAATCTATAGGAAATCTAAAGCTTGGGATAGCAGCAGGCCCTGACGGATTTACGCCTGAGATTTTTAAGGATGGCGGTCCAGTATTAGTAGTGAGATTGACTGAGGTCTTAGCCAGAATCTGGGAACTGGATGTAATCCCATCTGACTGGTCTCAATCACTGATTCGCCAGTCTATAAGAAAGGACAAAAGTCGTATTGTGACAATCACAGAGGAATTAGTTTGACTAATATAGTGTCTAAAATATTAGCTTCAATAATACTTCGACGTCTAACCAAAACTCGTGAAGAGCAGAATAGAGAAAACCAGGCTGGTTTTCGACCTGGACGTGGTTGTATTGATCAAATATTCACATTACGTCAGGTTCTAGAACATAGACACACATTCGGACGCCCCACAATGGTAGTATTTCTCGACCTTAAGGCGGCATTTGACTCTGTTGATCGTGAGGTTCTACGGCAGTGTTTGTCACTGAAGGGAGTACCAAAGAAGTACATCAACCTTATAAAGGCTCTTTACTCGAACACAACTGGTCGAGTGAGAGCTTATGGTGAACTGTCATCAGAATTGATTACCTCAAGTGGTGTTCGTCAGGGCTGTCCACTCACTCCATTCTTGTTTAACTTTGTCGTTGAAGTCCTTTCAGAGATGACACTTTCCTCATCTAAATTTCCAGGAGTTGAACTTCTACCGGGAGATCCACTTGTTGACTTAGACTATGCCGATGACATAGTTCTATTTAGTGAAGACGCTGACAGAATGCAGAGTCTGCTGACCACTCTAAGCAACAATGCAAGCATGTTCGGCATGCGATTTTCTCCCTCGAAATGCAAAATGTTGCTTCAGGATTGGGTTGCGTCGACACCCGAACTAGTGATAGGGAGTGAAGTAGTTGAGCGTGTCGACCGCTTCACTTATCTCGGAAGTCTCGTCAGCCCTTGTGGTTTGTTGTGTGACGAAATCTCAGCACGGATACAGAAGGCTCGACTAGCTTTTGCCAATTGCGCAGCACTCCGTTCCGTCCTACTTTATGGCAGTGAAACATGGCCAGTAAGAGTAGAGGATATTCGTAGGTTACTAGTATTTGATCATAGGTGTCTTCGAAACATCGCTCGTATATCCTGGGACCACCGAGTAAGTAATGCAGTTGTTAGGAAACGGATACTAGGTAAGGATGGCAAATCAATTGATGAAGTAGTGAAACTTAATTAGTTGAGATGGCTGGGACATGTGTTGCGTATGCCAGACCACCGACTGCCCCAACGTGCGATGTTTTCTGGTGTAGGAGTAGGTTGGAAGAAAGCTAGGGGCAGCCAGACCAAAACATGGCAGAAATCCATGAAGTCACTGACAAGTGGACTGAGTCATGTTGGTAGGTATGGACTACCTGGTTGGGGTCCGCGAGACGATAGCAACCGATGGTTAGAGACATTGAATGACATGACTCAAAATCGTTTGCAATGGCGCAGGTGCATCCACTCTTTGTGTTCTCTCAAACTCTAATCTTCTGAATTCTCCATGTCCTTTATTTCCTTTCCAAATATATTCCACTGGACTATACTCCTTTAAGAACATCATCAAACCTTAATGGGATTTGAATCGATAACTGACCCGATGTTGATTGGAAAGACATACAAGCAGCTGTGGAAACAGCAGTGACATCTACCAGTGATTTAAACCACAGGGTTACAAAAAACCAATGGATTTCTTCAAGGTCTATTGCACTGATAGATTCTCGTAAACTCATCCCATCAGGTTCTGAATACGATGAAGAACGTAAAGAAATCAGATCTAGGTTAAGCAAAAGTCTAAGGAACGATCGTGAGCAGTGGTGGGCAACGAAAGCAAGAGATAGAAAAAGCGGCGGCTATAGGGAACACAAGACAACTCTACAGACTAATAAAAGAAACTGGAATTAATAAATCAAGTGTAAGTCAGACCATTTCGGAAAAAGACGACACTCATCTGCTCCCAGTCCAGACGTTTAGAACGATGGGCGGAACATTTTAAGGAGCAGTTCAGTTGGCCTTCAGCTACTCTACAACTACCCTCTATTCTCAGACAGTATGAATGGAACATTGAAGTAGGTCCCCCAACTCTAGCTGAAGTTCAAAAGGCTATAGCTAATCTGAAACGAGGAAGGGCAGCTGGTCCAGACGGATGGGCCCCAGAGGTCTTTAAGGATGGTGGTCTAGTTTTAGCGACTAGGTTGACTAATATTTTAGCTAAAATCTGGGAGTTAGACGTTATCCCATCTAACTGGTCACAATCACTAATCGTCCCAATATTTAAGAAAGGGTCAAAATCATCCTGTGACAACCACAGAGGGATTAGTTTGACTAATATAGCATCTAAAATACTAGCCTCGATAATTATCGGACGCCTAACTAAGACTCGTGAACTGCAAACACGTGAAAATCAGGCTGGCTTCAGACCTGGCCGTGGCTGCATCGACCACATATTCACCATTCGTCAGGTTCTAGAACACAGGCATACTTATCGGCGTCCGACAATGGTGGTATTCCTTGACTTAAAAGCAGCGTTTGACTCTGTTGACCGAGAGGTTCTGTGGCAGTGTCTGTCATTGAAAGGCGTACCTCAGAAGTACATAAACCTTGTGAAAGCTCTTTACTCGAACACTACTAGTCGAGTGAGAGCTTATGGCGAACTGTCATCTGCTTTCGCAACCTCAAGTGGTGTCCGTCAAGGCTGTACACTTTCTCCATTTTTGTTCAACTTCATCATAGATCTACTGATGGAAATAACGCTCTCATCGACTGAATTCTCAGGTATTGATCTCCTACCAGGAGGTCCACTTATTGACTTAGAATACGCAGATGACATAGTCCTGTTTGGTGAAGACGCTGATGAAATGCAGAGTCTTTTGGTAGCACTGAGCAACAATTCCAGAATGTTTGGGATGCCCTTCTCTCCCTCCAAATGCAAGTTGTTGCTTCAGGACTGGTCTGCATCAACACCTGAACTAAGGATAGGGAGTGAAGTAGTCGAACGCGTCGACAACTTCACTTATCTTGGAAGTCTGATCAGCCCTAATGGGTTTGTGTCTGACGAAATCTCAGCACGGATTCGAAAAGCTCGCTTGACCTTTGCCAACTTACGTCATCTATGGCGCAGGCGAGATATCCGTCTATCAATTAAGGGACGAGTATACTGCGCGGCAGTTCGTTCCGTTCTACTATACGGCTGAGAAACATGGCCTTTGAGAGTAGAATATACTCGTAAGCTACTAATATTTGATCACAGATGTCTCAGAAATATTGTTCGCATCTTCTGGGATCATCGGGTAAGTAATAGTGAGGTTAGACGCAGGGTATTAGGGAATGATGGTAAATCAGTTGATGAGGTCATGAATCTTCATCGACTGAAATGGTTGGGTCACATGTTACGTATGCCTGAACACCGATTACCACGACGCGTAATACTGACTAGTGTTGGGGATGGTTGGAAGAAAGTTAGGGGCGGCCAAACCAAAACATGGCATCAGTGCTTGAAGTCACTAACTTCTGGTCTGAGCCATGTTGGAAGATTCAGACTACCTGGTTGGGGTCCACGTGACTATCGTAGCCAATGGTTGGAGACTCTTGGTGACATGACTCAGAATCGATCACAATGGCGTCGGTGTATACACTCTTTGTCTTCCTTTAAACTAAGAGATTAAAATCACTTCAAATCTTTCTTTCTACGAACTAATTCTATCTTCTTGTACTATCTCCTTATACACACTCTTTCTTCTATATATTACCACCACTGAATTAACTACTCCTATGAATCCGGTGTTCATCTTGTTGTGCTAATGCGGTATGGCAACTTGGACCGATGCATATACGTGCCTGGTCCTACGTTGCAGCTGACTGACTGACTGACTGAATGTGGTATGGCAACTCGAACTGATGTACGTACGTACGAAGTTCCACGTTGTTACTGACTGACTGTGTGTCTTTTGCGAGAAATTTTCTGGATCACCCCAACATTTACATTAAGTCACGAAACGTCAGAAAATCTAATTTTTCTACTTATTGGGATATTACAAATATTTTATTTATTTATAACAATCTACTCAATGCTCAATTTATTCGAAATTATATATTGTGTTTTAGGAGTTGTATTTGTCTAATATTGTTTTGTTTCCATTTTTATGCAAAGTAAAAGATCATTGTCTAGTAAATTAAATTATTCACAAAAGTCTTAATTGTTTGACAAATTAGTGAATTCCCACGAGTGACACTTTTTCAATCGACTAACATGATATATTTAATTTGTCTGTTAAGTGACAATTAGATCAGTATATGATAGTTATATATTTAGCTCTCCAAATATAATAAGTCTAATGAGTAGATATCGTTTACTAAAATACGTCGTTTATCAACATTTGTGTTTTTAGGATGATATGGCGCAACCTTTAAATAATTTCACTGTTCGCGACTGTCAAATTATATGTTTAAATAAGCCAAAACCATACACATTTCTTATTCGTGGTTTACAATGGACCAATGTAGTGGAACGTTTATTCTTCGTCGAGACGGAAGCAGAAAGAAATTATTGGCTTAGTGCAATTCAAAGCGTCGCAAATAGACTCAAATCGTCATTTGAGCAGCCAGTATCCGTACACAGTTTAGATTTGGCTGAAAATATGATCGTTGATATTCCTCAGAGGTGAGTTTAAACATCAAAGCATGATTTATCATTAGATTAAAAAAATCAATGGTTATGACATATTTGAGTTTATAAAGTACTATTGAAGCTGATAAAACACATATTTTAGCTAGGAGTTTATCTGTGCTAATTATTTGGGGCAAATCAACTCTCCGTATATGTAGCTAATCACGGATGAAAGTACTCAAGTACGTTTTCTTATATTTGCAAGCTGTTTCTACAAAAAATACCTTGTGAAGGTTATGATTAAAGTAGTTTAAATTGTGAAGTTTACATGTCACACAGATGTGACTATTCCATGCATTAAAACATTGTTCAAATTACTGTGACATTATATTTTTAGATAGCTAAAACGCGTAGTGCATATACCAGACCGATCCGGATGTTGAATTAAAGGTTGCAATGAGAACAAGCCAAAAATATTTTAGGAAAATTGGATAGTTTACTATCACTGATTGCTTATCAGAATTGTATCGAGTGTTTTTGGATTGTTATCTAATTTGCTGGTCACAACCTGATATGTATATATTCTGTATAGTGACATTGAGAGTCTGTTCTTACCTTCTAGTCAGTAAAATATAATGCATAAAATATTTTATTCCTTGTCTGGTCTATGTAATTACATCCAAAAATACATCATATACATTGTCAATCGAATACAAAACATGTGATGATGACCTCTAGTTGGTGTCTAATAACTTTTAATGAGAAACCTGTCTAACCCTTTTGTCTTACTTTAAAATAACTTTTACTAATTTAGTCTAATCTATGGCACGTGAACCATTGACTTGATTTGATATACGGTACTCATTGCCTTATTTTCGTGCATAACCGTGCATACTTTCGTACGCTGTTATTATTATGGTAATTCTATTATCTAACTACTCTTATTTTTATTCTACATAACTCCAACTATCCACATATATTTTTACTTGTTTTCTATCTATTTTGATTATTGTATTTTAAACATTTTAATATTTTTTCATATTGTAGGCCCGTGAAACGTTATTCTGTAAATGACTTCAGACTTTTAAAAGTTTTAGGGAAAGGTACTTTTGGAAAAGTGATTTTGTGTCAAGAGAATGAAACAGGTCATTTCTACGCCATGAAAATACTAAAGAAGTCTGTACTTATTGAAGTAAGTCGAATAGTCATAATTATTATTTCTAATTTTACCAGTCTGTGTTTGATTCTATTAAATAATCATCCTTTTCACCTGAATTTTAGTTGGGTAGATCTAATAAATATTAGTAACTAAAAGTTAAGGACTTTCACCGATTGCCTTGGAATGTAGCATATTACAGGTTTTTTATATTTCATGAATTTCTCAACAATTAGATGCACAGTTTAAAAACCTACCTTCTCTTATTTCAGTTTAGACAATTAGATAGTATTGTAATGAACAAGAATACATGCAAGAACAACCAATGTAAATACGAAATTACAGTATCTTGGTAAAATATAAGAACCATACACTGAATACTCCATTTGCAGATTTTCATCATCTCTTCACATTCTGTATGATTCTCCAAGTTCCCAATTCCTTTCTATTTTCCCTTGTGTTCTCTTCAGCTCGATCTTCTTAGCCTTCTGCTGCCAGGTTTTCCACTTCCGATTGGTGTTACATACTGCTTATGTCTGTCGGCACAAGTAGTATGCACAGTATCAGTGAAGTTTCGCTTAAGTCTGAGCTTGTGAATCTGTACATAGTTATTAAGCTGCATTAAAATTAAACTTGTTTCTCATTTTCCTGAAATTATAAACCATATTACTTCGTACATTCAACAGGGCATTACATCAGTTATTATCTTTTAGACACCTGATAAGCTATTTTTATATAGCAACAGTCGTTATCGTTTTTGTTTTTAAAAAAATCAACAATGATTACTGCTTATTATTATTGCCATTATTATTATTATTATTATTATTATTATTATTGTTATTATCGCGTGAGTTCATTATTTCTTTTACATTGTTTTCTACCACATAATAACAGAAAGAAGAAGTTGTTCATACAATGACTGAAAATCGTGTGCTACAACAATGCAAACATCCATTTATGACAGAGCTCCGTTATTCATTTACTACACCTAATTATTTATGCTTTGTTATGGAATATGTTAATGGTGGTGAATTATTTTTTCATCTACAACGTGATCGTGTATTCTCAGAAGAAAGAGCTAAATTTTATGGTGCAGAAATTACTCTGGCTTTAGGTTATTTACATCACCAGAATGTTGTTTATAGGTATGAAGAAAAATACCTTTGAAATCAAATATATATATATATATATATATATATATATATATATAGTGATTTACATAATTTCTGTTTTTTTCTTTATAAGCTATATTTCATGTAATTTTGATTTTAAGAAGTACTCGGGGATAGTACTTTTTTCTCGACTGTAGCTTGTTACTTTGACGCAGTTTAGACTTATATGTTATGACGACCTGATCAAGACATATTGACTGAAACACTTGTCCTTTAATACCATGTTACATGAACCTGGTTAGATGGAGAAAGAAATACGATCAAACGCTTTTTAAGGTAACTTGTAGTTTAAATTGTTGAATGATGAGTCTGCTACCTAACAATTTATCAAATTGGAATAGAAAACTGACACATTTCTGTCTGTCTAAAACAAGCAAGCAAGCACGAATATTTACTTTTCTCTGTTTTCAAATATAAGGTGTTGTTTCAAGACCCTTCATGAATACTTGGTTGGACAATATACTGTAAATTAGTTCATTGTATTGACCACTTCATTTACCTTCGAAGCCTTATCAGTTCTTGCAGTAGATTTTTACTTTTATGTTCAAAGATTTTATTTCTGAGTGAGAATGATCGTTACAACACTCGGTGTTTTTGTATTCTTGCTCTAACCAGGGATCTTAAATTGGAAAATTTATTGTTGGATAAAGATGGTCATATAAAAATCGCTGATTTTGGTTTGTGCAAAGAAGACATGTACTATGGTGCATCAACTAAAACATTTTGTGGTACACCAGAATATTTGGCACCTGAAGTTTTGTTGGATAACGATTATGGGCGTTCAGTTGATTGGTGGGGCCTTGGTGTAGTAATGTATGAAATGATGTGTGGACGTTTACCATTCTATTCAAGTGATCATGAAGTTTTATTTGAACTAATACTGCAAGTAAGTTAGCTGTAACTGAATTTTATTATCATCATACGTTTCTCTTTTCTTTTTTTTTGATATTTCAAAATGATAGAGATTTCAGTTTATTGTCGCTTTGCCAAATCACTGTGTTGTCTTTGTTCGGAAATACCAAAATTTATTTTTCTGAATGTCAAGGCGGTCATATCATGACTTTTATCAATAATAATTGCTGATCAGCTGTACATCTATATTTGTTAATTATGCTAAAAAGTTTAGTATGTTTTTTTTGTCTCAATCGAAGTTCATACATACCGAAAATTTATAAAATCCTATTGGATTGTAAAATTTGAAACATCTTATTAGTTTATCGATGAGAAACATACGTAATTTCTATCACTGAATGAACCGTATTTCCACATGTTATTCACTCTTAGCAAGACAAAGTGAAGTATTATGCTTTTTGGGGAATGTTTTGGTAGATATGAATATCTCACTGAAGTTAGATGGGTCACAAGTGACTGAAACCTAATCAAGCTTGCTGTATGTGTCTTTTTATGCTCTTATATTGCCAAGAGTGGAAAGTGTTTTTCTACTTGGCATAATCTCATCAAACCGTGCGTCTTCGGCCTCTCATGAATAGTCCTACTTACTCCATTACTTTGGTAACATGTTCCTGCAATACTAGAACGGAAACGGACGTTTGGTGGTTAAACATAGCCGAAAAATACGAAAGGTTTACCTAGAAGAGCTAGGAATCCTTGATTCCAGACAAGTAATCTATACTAACCACAAATGCCTGGAACGCCCAGTGCCTAACTTAATAATCAGCTGTCTCGACATTATATCTGGCATCTCACTACCCTGTAGATAAAGTATGTAAGGCAGTCCCTCGAGAAAACTACCTAGTTCATTTAAACATCCAGAATTTGTCAGAACCCTCACATTAACCATGACAATTGTAAATGTAAAAATAAAGAGTCGGTATCGAATATATGGTCTCCGCTCTGTTTTTTGACAATAATTGCCACTTCTTTTTTATGACTCAAACTTAGATATCTTACTATATCAAGCATTTAATAGTTTGAATTCTCTATTATTCTGTGTAGGTTGTTACAAATAATCTTAATGTTTATGCAAATATTTTGGCAGTAATGGTCATTCAGATTATATCGTATTTTGTCATTTTTAATGCTTTAGGAGAATGTCTCCTTCCCAGCTCGTCTTTCACACCCAGCTCAAGATATCCTGTCTAGACTTTTAATTAAAGATCCAACAAGTCGATTAGGTGGTGGAATACAAGATGTTTTGGAAGTTATGGCACATTTGTTTTTTGCGTCAGTTGATTGGGATCGTTTAATAAGAAAGTATGTTGTATGTATGTATTTCTATTTTGTCATTTTCCTTATATTCGAGATATACCAATTGTTTAAATTAGTCACCAGAAAACTTGTTATAGTAATGCTGATTTCTGTTTCGAATACAACTACCAAAATTATTCGTTTGTATTGGTTGTTTGGATCTTTCCATTGATGTTTAGGATTGCAATTGATCAGTCTCGTTTCACGTATGTATATCCTGTGCTGATTGCCTCGATTTTGTCCTTAAGCCATAGGCATTACAAACATAGATGGATGGTGGCTAGCTGTGGAATCCAGGATGCGCGTTTTGTTCTGGATCCCACTGCTAGTCACCATCCATCTCTGTTTATAATGCTTGTGAATTAGTGACAATTCGTACAGGATACACATATGCGAAACGAGACTGATCAATTGCAGTCCTAAGCATCAGTGGGAAGGTTTAAACTAATACAAATGAATTGTACATATTTCATTCAGTGACTTTTCCCAGGGACGTCATTTCAGCATAGTTTGCTAGGTTGTTAAGATTTAAGTTATACATTTTTCTTCGGAAAAGAATATTTCATATCCATGGCTTGCTAGCTGTATGTATATTAAAACACCTATTTGTTTACTCATCTACACTTTCAGAGATATTCAACCACCATGGAAACCAGACGTGGTCGATGAAAAAGACACAAAATATGTCCCAGATGAATTCAAGGATACGTCAGTCGATCTGACTCCTCCAAATGATGATGAAGATAATATGAATCGAATTGTCGATGGACCATATTTTGAGCAATTCAGTTTTCATGGAAGTCGACAAAGTTTGAATAGTAGAGTCAGTGGTTATAGTTTTAGTGACACATTTTAATAATGTGTATTTTACTACTAGTTTAATTGACTGCCTCTTACATGATTTAACTTTCTATGTACAAAAAAGAAGAAATGAAGTGAATGTTATTATAACTAATATTTTTCAGATAAATGAACAAACAAAAAACATTGTGTAGAGCCTGGAAGTGTATGTGTGTATATCCTCTGATTCCGATTATGAAATATGTATAGATTTATTTTCATATTCATTTTCACTTGGCTTTGCTTATTTTTCTTTCCTTTTTCAAATACTTGATATTATGATATAAATTTTATGTGAATTAAATATATTTAGTTTGAGTTGGTCTTAGAGATGTGTAACTTTCATCTACTGTTATTTTTCATTGAAACTATTGTTATTTCATCGCCTCGTCTATTTTATTATTATTAGTATCATTTTATGTGTGTTTGTAATTGTGACATTTACAATTTTGATCAGATTAAATCTCAGTTGTTGGTGTTGTTGTCTTTATTATCTGCATTAAGTTGGTTCACTATTTAGTTAATCTGTTTCCTTTTTATCTCCCTCGCTTTTTACGGTTCCGCCCTACTATCTCACATCATAATTTTATTATTGTGTTGACGTGTGCACATACGTATCCTCTTATGGATTTCTCCCTTTTTTTGTACATAAATCTGTCCATACGTATTTATGTACTACTACTGTTGTTATCGTTGTCTTGTATTCGTAATGATTTAGGTTCATTCTGCTTCGTATGCATGTTTATGTATTCTGACACTAGGTTTTATTTTAGTACCTACAAGAGAATTAAACCCTTCTTTCTAAGACGAAAATTATCCTACATTCTCATTTGATGCATCTAGAGCTGATCATCCCGCCCATTGTTCAGTAAACAAATACCAGGATCAATGTAGACAGTATTACAATATTTATTATTCAGTTGTATGATTTTTATTGATAAAATCCAATATATATAATTCATAGAAATAGAACATTATATTGAGTGGTTCTCGTTTTTTACTCATTGTGTGTCTGTTTGTGTTCGTGCGTTTGTTTTTGTCTATATATTAAGTTTACCATATTCTGTAATTACCATTTATTGATTTGTTTTAGATAGAGTATCTGTTACATTTTAAAAATATGTATTTCTTCCACAGTTGAAATAGAAAAGTTTAATATTAAGTAATTTTTTCTGTTGTTAGTAGTCGGTCATTGATCCTTGAGTTCATGCTTTTTGACTCCACTTATTTTTGTTTATATTTAGGATAATCAATTAACAAGTTCTTTAGCAGCATTTCTCCAGATCGTTTAAGCATTTAATAAAATTTGGAAATATTACGTATTTTCTTCAATCATTAGATTATTTGATATTACATATCATTTCACGTCTACTTCTACCATATCTGTGTTTTTAAAATATTATATGTATATAATAGTCGAGATTCTAAACGTCAGTTAATTGATTCTATCACTCAATATGTATAACTTATCGTATTTCTTATTGATATTCGCTAACATCCTGGAGTTCACAATTCTAACAATTCACCCTAGTGGCTTATCATTAGGCTAGTTTTTAATTAGAACTGGAACTTATCAGATTAATGACATTGATAAGTGATGTGTTCATGATGGCTTTTCAGAATATGTATAAACAAATTTCTTAAGAATTTTCCTGTAAATTTGAATAAATAGTTTCATAGTGGTATAGAACTATGTGTGTAGAAAATTAGCAATTAAAATTAATCCAGCTTTTCTCTCAGTAGTCTGATCTAAGTTTCAAATTATGTACTAAACAAATTGTCGAGTCATAGGAATAATGTTGCATAAGTATGCGTCATTTGTTGTGAAATGTGATGAGATTTTGTATGTATATGTGTGTAGTATGTAGATCTGATATGATATTTGACAAATCCATTAACCAAATATGTTCTTAGGTTATGATCGTTGATGAAATTAGATGATCTGGTTGAGTGTTATAAATCAAACTTGTCACAACATGCAAAGTATAAGGATAAATAAACAAAGGTTTTCGCTGTTTCAGGGCTACTCATCAGATGCAAATGGCCTAGATTTACATTATTAATGGTATTATGACAAAATTAACTTGAATTTTATGTTAACTAGCTCCCTTGATTTGTTAAAAGCTTTTTTCTGTTGATTGTCTCTTTTATAATTTACAACTTCACTTCTGGTTTCTTAAGTCCCTTTGAACTTCATTGATTATGGTGTGTGATAAAATTTCTGTAGAATAACATTAATGTGAATTTAGACCATCGGCAACTGATGAACAATAATGAATTCATATCAGAAGGTTTTTGTGGATATTATACTAATTTCAATGGTTTAAATCATGAGTCAAATTAAGCTAGACTACGATGGAAAACCTGGAACCACTGGACGCAGTCGCACAATAGGACGAAACGGCCAAATTATCAAATGGAAGTTTATCTTTTTTGTCCATATAATATGAGACAAATTAAAAGTATTAAAATAAAATACAGATTTACTTATTAATGTGACAGGTTATTGTACTCCATCTTTTCTATTTATGTTGTTTGGATTCGCCCATATATGTAGGGCTTTAAAAGTCACTATTTTGTTGTATGAACCAAAAACTTTCTGAAAGATTGTTGCTTCATCAAAGTATATAATGATTCTATTAAGTCCAATACTGTTACCTACTTATTTTCAGCATTCTTCAAAATTATTAATCATCGTCTAATTTATATGAATTTTCTACCGATTTATATGTTATAGTTCCAGTAAGTATTTATCTAGTGATTAATTTGACAAAGTTTAAATAGTATAATCAGTCTGTAAAGAGGAAAAAATAAAGAGAATATTATCATAGCTATACTTTTCGGATAGATGGATAGATAGATAAACACAGGAAACTGATGTTAAATAAGAAAGATTAGTTCATCGAAGAGTTCTCTTTTCGGCAAATTCATTTTCAAAGCTGTACAATCGCAAATATATATACTTATTTTACAGGATGATAATAATACTGATAATAAACTTCTGTTAGACATGGTGACAGTGAAGTTAAATAAACAATGGTATTAAAAAATTTTTTTAAAACAAGAAAAGTTTAATAATCGTTTGATTGTTAATAGCTTAAGTATTCATCAAAAGATAGATAGGGAAATTATCATTGGGAAAGGATGGCTCAGCATGATAAGATATGTGGAAATTGAGATTAAATGTAATCGGAATGATCGTGAAAATAAAAACAAACCAGTTGGGGTTAGAAGATTTAAGGGGAAGATGAAAGGTGAAGCAGATGGCTGTAAAGGAACAAGAGTGTGAAAAAGAGAAAAAAAATTATAAGAAATTAAGACCATGATAGAAGAGGTTGCACCAGTCTCTTTTATACACAATTCTGGTTTTTCAGATGTATGGCTAATGCTCCGGCAATGCAAAGAAGATGCAGTCTAATTGTTTTTGGAAAACTTCTACTTACCTTGTAGATGACTTTGAACACAGAGTCTGTCTTGATTGAGTAACCTGTGTTCACAAGGTGTTCGATTATTGAACTTCTTATTTAGCCGTTGCCTCCTCTTTTTAGCCACGCCGGATAATGTTCTTGAATTCTTTTAAATAAAGTACGCATCGAACGATTTATATATCTAACCATTAACAACCAAACGATTATTAAACTTTTCTTGTTTTAAAAAAATTTTTTAATACCATTGTTTATTTAACTTCACTGTCACCATGTCTAATAGAATTTTATTATCAATAATATTATCATCCTGTAAAAATAAGTTTATACATTTGCGATTGTACAGCTTTGAAAATGAATTCGCCGTAAAGAGAACACTTCATTGAACTAATCTTTCTTATTTAATGTCTTGATGCGGATGTATTCCGCTTACTAAGAATAATAATGTACAACTTATCTATTATTCTTTGTGGTTTGTTCAATATTTACATCTAACACTAAAATGTTATCTGATATTATTATATTAAAATGTATATCAAATTATTACGATGCTATTACAAAAAAATGTATATAGTTTCTAATTATTATTATTATTATTTTCTGATGTGTACACTCGAATTTCATTTATACACTGTATAATAATTATGTGAACTATAAAAATGCAACAATCGACTAAAATGAAGGTGATAAATTCATTAATTTTATTTAGATAATTACTGACAACCAAAAAAAGGACAAACAGTATTAACTTTCTATAATGATCTTGGTTTTAATTCAGTTTATATTCCCATAGATTACAATAATTGAGCATAATCTCCAAGGTAATAATTACTGATCTTGACTTATTGATTTTAATAATATGTACAATTGGTTAATATTGACAAAAAAATTTATTCAGTCTTAATTATTTGTCTGTATTTAAAATGTCTCAAATTCTTATTTGTATTTTTTCTTCGTTTCGTTTTTTTTCCAGAGTTAATTCTTTTCACGGAATTCTGTGTGTGTGTATGGTACTTCAAATTGGTTCCTGGTATGTGGATTATTAATATATATATATATATATATATATATATATATTCATTTATTTTTTGTTATATTTATAATGTGATGATTATGCGCATCTGAATCCTAACCAAGTTTCACTTTAATGATTGGTTTTGTTAATGGTGAATTTGATTGTTTGTTTTGAATGTTGATGCTTGTTTTATTTGTTTACGTAATTGATATCTGTCTGACTGTTATTTTCGTCTCTGAATGAATGATTTTGTCTGTTAACCAGTCATTAATAAAGTGAACTATGGTTTTATGGGATATTGATTCATTAGTTTTCAATCTGATTATTGCTTTGTAAATTTATTAATTCCAAATAAGCACAACATATTCACATAAACATTTATATTTTTCATTCTTGATTATTATAGATAATAGTAAATTGTAACAATATTAGGGAATTTCAAGCAACTGTGCAACTCGTAAGTAAATTGTTCAACTTTTTAATTCATTATAAAATTCTTATCGATTTATAATATTTTGGTAAATTTATTTTGCTAATAAGAGGATAACAAATCTATATTCGCGAATAGTAGTGTACATAAAGAATAGTGGGTCCAGGTATATTCGGCAACAAGGTTAACGATTCCTGTAAAAGTAGATTAATAAAAATAATAATCTCTTTATCGAATAGTACAGATGTAGTTCCAGTAAGAAGTTCGTAGACCGAAATTGAAACCACTACAATGATGTCTAATTTTTATGTGTGGATTCTGATGCATTCGTTACTCGTTTTGACAGAGAATACACTTAGAAAATGTGTACCAACTGTTGTGTTGCATTCATTTGAGCTTTCCAAGAAATCTGGTGTTAATTGTTTGAGACGAATTCGTTGTGTTTAAGTTGATAGGTGAATGATAAAATAGTACATTTCTATTGATAGAATTTTTTTTTCATGTCTGCTATCACACTGTCGTGATGCAATATTTAATCACGAAAATGGGAAAATAGGCTATTTAAACATTGTAGATTGAATATACTATCTAGATTCCTCAAAGTAATATGACTGAACTCCTAATTGGGAAACAGGAGAATTATTGGGGATCAAAGTGATGTATAATTAATAATTACGTTGAAATCATGAACCGATCCAAGTTAGAGCACCATTAAAAACATGGAAGCACTGGATCGCCGTTTTATCTTAGTATGGAACTCTCCAACAGTGCCCATCCGCGGGATCGTTTCTTGTTGTCAATGAGATTCAACAATTTACACAACCCCTTACTGATAATTAATTGGGTTGAATAACACATGTCACATTGAAATGATGATCCTCTCATCTCATGTCCAAAAGGTAACCAAGCAATTTAGTCTTGAATATATTACCCATAGGGAATTCTAATAATATTCGGTAATTTCGTTTCTTTTTGTCTTACCCTAGAAAAATGGGGTTCGTATTGAAGTTTCCTGTACGATTTTTGGCTTCACTTGGCGGTTCATTGAAAGCTTCATCTTTGAAGGCTGCAGTGGTATGTTCAAACACTTATATATGTATCTGTGTAATTCTGTAAAAATAAGAATTGTTTGAAAATGCCTATGTCTATTAAATAAACAATAAATTTATTGTCAGAAGGGGTTTTGTGAAGATTGTAGTAATTCCAATGATTAAGATCATGAGTTTTGGGATAGTAACTCACTGAAGACAATGGTGGGTGTGTTGCTCAATTTCGTGGATTAGTTGAAGTTAGACATTAACACCGTTGGATGCCGGCTCAGTGGTCTAGTGGTTAAGTGCTCGCGCGTGAAACCAATAGGTCCTGGGTTCGAATCTCGCAGGGGGCGAGGTCATGGATGCGCACCGCTGAGGAGTCCCACAATAGGACGAAACGGCCGTCCAGTGCTCCCAGGTTTTCCATGGTGGTCTAGCTTCAACTGATTCATGATCTTAATCATTGAAATAAATTTATTGTTTTTGGAGTTTGTAACGTAATCGAATTCACAAAGCTTTTAGGCTGACAACTTTCTGGTTAAAATTTATCCCTAACCATTTCAGCGATAGGTACACTTTTGCCGATCATTATACTTGTTGAGATCCCATGTGAATAGGTCGTAATTCAATGTTCGGTTGTATGATCGCGTCCGAGTATTGAATACATCATCTAGATTGCCTATATAAAACTGATGATCTACTAACCAAATGACACGACGAGCTTCCTTTGACCAACAATTCGATGATGTTGAGATAACAGTCATGATCAATACTTAAAGCCTATTGGTTCAGAATACAGTTCTCCCACGCCTGCTTGTCCTGCAGCCAGGTTAGAACAGCAACACAGTAGATAAATGACTTCTATTTTTACAGTTGAATTCATAATTTAACCTGGTGTGACCTGTATAGACTAATTTCCAGACTACACACAAACATAAATAGGAAATTACAATATGGGCTTAGGTACACCGTATGTGAAAGCGATCGAAATAATAGGTCCATAATTAATTAACAGTAACTTAAGGAAAAAAACAAAACAATATTTTCTGTACCAGACAAAAGCTTGCAACTAGGATAATATGAATGTACAATAATCGAAATGTCTAATGATTATACAATAAAAATGTAATTGATCGTTCCACTCCATTATAACACTAATCATATTTATTCATGCATTATTTTTGCTTGTATCACATTTTCAGTCCACAAAACATCTTGTCGCCTCACCAACTTTCTCTCAGTTCAATTATGCTATCCGTAGACAGTTTTCTAATAACCCATCAGACGATTCGGTAAACAATATTTCTGATTTAGTAAAAGGAAGTCGTATTGTGCTTTTTATGAAAGGGAATCCGAATGAACCACGTTGTGGTTTCAGTAATGCTGTTTGTCGTATCCTAGAAATGCATGGAATTCTAGAAAAAGCAAGTAAAGGAGATGATCCAGATCTGTTCGCATCGTATGATGTCTTAGAGAGTGAAGACCTGCGAGCTGCTGCTAAAGCGTTTGCTGACTGGCCCACTTTCCCTCAGTTATATTTTGACGGTGAATTTATTGGTGGTTGTGATATTCTTTTAGATATGCATCGTTCTGGGAAACTAACGGAAGAACTAGAACGTCTCGGTATTGGCTCTGCTTTAGCAAAAGTGTCAGACAATGAGGAAACATGATTGATTATCTTCTCATTTTTTGAATTTGTACAGCATCCCTATTTTCTGTTTGATAAAAATATGTTATACTGCAGCACTGATGTTTAGTCTTAACTTTACCCATAATATGTAGTTAATATCTTTTTGTATGTGTATTACTGTGACTGTTTTAGGTTTTCATCTGCAATTTTTGAATTTTAGCAAACTATTATTTGACGAAATGCAGTAGCCATGTATTATAACGAATGATATTACATTTTGTTGTTTAAGCTATTGTGAGGATTCCGTTAAACAGCTTACCTGCATATTCTAAAAAGCAATATCATCATAATAAACAAAGATGGATAGTGGCTAGCAGTGGAATCCACGACGCGCGTTCCGTCCCATTCGAAACTCGTCAGCTGGATGTATCTGCATCTCAAAATTGATGTTCACTCCGGGACTCGAACCCAGTGCTGTTCACTTCAAACGCCATCGCGTTATCCACTTAGCTACTGAGTCCTGTTAGCTACTTGCTTGTGCAATGGGGTTAAGTTTAATTCACTTGATATTGTTTTTATTTGAATCTTCCGATTGATGTTTAGGACTGAAATTGTTCAGATTCAAATTAAGACAATATCAAGTGAATATCATCATAACGTAAAATTTTCACAATTGAAAATTCACTGTTACATGAAGCGCTCATTCTGGCCTTCTGATCTGTTGCTTGAATGATGTTATATTTACAACGAATAGCGCTCCGCTTATATATATATATATATATATATATATATATATATATATATATATATATATATATATATATATATATATATATATCACTGCGTTAAGGTTGCTAGTAACCTGGAATTTTCAAATAGACCGATTTCTTGATCGTATGGCTTATTAATGATTACTGCGAATTAGTTGATATTTTGTAGTGTTTTGAGTATAGTCTCCCCATTTCACTATATCAGATGGTTATTCTTATGAAGTTCAAAGCGGCTCTCTCATTTGAACTGTAGTAGTTTTAAATAAAATTTGTGGACAATCAAAATGAGGGCATTGGAAAATAAAGACTTAAGGTTTGGTTGTACTAGTGTCCGTTTTCTGCGGTCGGTTTCCTCCCTCAAGATAGCTTACAAAATTTAGTACTTTAAAAACTAGTGTACAACCGTGTCGAAATGTTTTGAACTCTTGCTTCGCCTAGTAGTTTTCGGCTTAATGTAGTAATGTGTGGAATTCGGTCGGCGTCGAGTCGCATTTCACTTGTTGTTGACATTCTTATCAAACCGGTCAAAATTTTAATGAACTCGCTCAAATAATCTCTAATATTTAGGATGTAGAGTCAAGCTTCCATACCATTCAATAGCAATACTTCTCATCTCAACAAATATACCATATTCTTCCTCTTTTGTAATCGTTTTAATGTTGGTAAACGGCCCTGTATCCGCTCTTAAGATGTTTTAGAAAACATTAAACGTTATATCGTGCGCTTGAGATTATTGTGAAAAGTAGACAGCTTGATACAGTTTAATTTAGGAGAAATAGGCATTAAAAGTTTGTGGAACTTTCTTTGAAAACATCGATCATAAATTTTAAATGAGCTATAAGGTAGACGTTTTAATAAGATAAGCCTTACGTCTATTCCTCTCCAGTCCTTACATTTTAATGATAGGCTTTTTTAGTATAAAGTGCACTCACATTTGTAGCCAGTTCATCATTATATTGATAATATATCCATAATTCACTGTCACATGCTCTGTATAAACGCCTATAGTATTCATGCAGTTTAGTGAATCTAGACTCGTGTACTATATATCTTAGTCAAATATATTCACCTAGAGCTGTGCAGATCAGAATGGAGAAATGTTCAAATAAATCACTAACGGATGTTGACGCGTATATCTGAAGTATTAATTTATGTAAGACTGTTGAAATTAAGTTAGTAACAATTGAGATATACAACTTCCATTTGGTGCTTGTTACCTCTTTCCTTTTTAATCTATAAATCCTAGTGATCATCAATGCTTATTGTTGGTAACGTTTGTGAAATATAGCATTGGTTTTGACAATAGCATGGGCGTTATTGGTACCAAGTACATGTATTAATATTAGGTAAATGACATAAACATCCCAGTTACGAGCTGATATCCTCTACTATATCATGTATAATTTGAATATATGTTTCTATCTAAGAATATTCTCTTTGCAAGTTATTTCTTTATGTCTGAGTGGTTGTTATGTGATTTTCCAAATTCAGTAGCCAAGTGTCAGAAGCCGTCATCACACCTTACTTGGTGACCAATAATGACATAAATTCTATGTTGTTCTTTTCTGACTACTGACTAAACTTAAGTAGCAAAAAAAGCTACAAGTGTTTTTTTCGGACAACCAGCAGAATGGTTGTTTGATGAATATAAATCATTTCTTTATCTTATTAAGGTCACGGATATACTGTCTTTCAATTGACCAGGTGGTCGATTTGAGACGAATACAACGAAGTTTGTCTTCATATCTGTCTGTGCTACAGTAATTTTTAAACTGGTTCCAACTACTACCCGTTCTGAATAATGAGTCTTCCAATGAATTGGTATCTTCTAAGATTGGGTTTCATTGTATCACAAAGTGGTTTAAGTTAGACAGTTGAAAGCCTTAAAACACTGGATGGTAGTTTCATCCTATTATGAGACTCAGAAGTGCACATCTATGGTCCCGTACGCAAGGGTCTAGGCCAGGACTCTCGGTCTCGCATGGACACACTTAACCTCTAGATCACTAATCTGGCATCCAACTGTGTTGGGCGTTCACGTCCGAGATCGAAAGTTTTGGGTTCGATTCCTACTTACAGGATCGTGAATGTGCACCGCTGTGAAGTTCCATTACTGAGATGAAATGGCCGAAATAAGTAGTTAAAATTTTGAAATCAATAGGATCCTATTTTGTATATAAAAAAACTCCACTTATCAAACAATAGTTCCTCACGTCTAATAATACTGACGATTCCCTTGATCAGCTCCTAGAAGTTATATTGTGTTCTTTATTTTTTAAAATCTAAATTGAATACTCGCTAAACAAACAAAAATAATTTATGCTTAAAAATATAAATAAATACAAAAAAACGCAAAAAATTATATTCTAGTCATTAAGGTCAATAACAATTGTATAATTCTGATAAAAGAGGTTGAAACTTAGAAAGAAAAAATTTAAGAAATGGTATATTTATTGTCCTAACTTTTAAAATTTTAATTAATTCAAATTTGTTGAAATTTTGTGTGGTTTTCTTCTTGTGTTTTTTTTTGCTTGACAATCTATTCACTATGAATGAATTCATTTGCAATGCAAAAATTTTCAAATACAAATTTTTTTTCAGATCAACAAAGTGATTTTTTTCTTTCTGATTTTAAAAAAAATGTATCAGAGTTGTAGTTCGTTTTTTTTTGTTGGTTGTAAATTTCAAAACAAAATTGTACTATCAATAGTTGAGAGGATGATTCAATTAAAGCTAGACCACTATGGAAAACCTGAAAACACGAGACGGCCGTTTTGCCCTATTGTTGGACTCCTCAGCATTGCTCATCCACGACCTCGCCTTGTGGGTTTCGAATCCAGGACCTATCAGTCTCGCTCCAGGCGCTTAACCAACTTGACCACTGAGCCGGCACTAATAGGCCTTGGGTTCGAATCTCGCGGGTGGCGGGATCGTGGATGCGCACTGCTGAGGATTCACATACTAGGACAAAACGGCCGTCCAGTGCTTCCAGGTTTTCCATGATGGTCTGGCTTCAATTGATCCATGATTTCAACCGTATTGAGAATAGTTTAAAAAGAACATTCCACTTTGTTTTAACCTACATGCATATACAGTATTTACTTTTTTATTCCTCTGATTTGTTTTCTCTTTTATTAAGTTCTTTATTTTTTGATGATGCTTTTGTTTTCAAAGTTGCTTGTAGATAAAATATATTGAAACGTTGAGCAGTGATCTCATAGGAAATGTAAAATTTACAAATTTTGTTTTGATTTTAAGAACAGTTTAAAAGTTGTTCTCATATTGTTAGATCATAGTAGAAATTTTGTTATATTAGATATAGAATATGATAGAGCTGTTAATAAAATCTAAGGTTCACTAATGCTCATGAATAAGGTATGTTTGTTGTTATTCGATGATATTTCACAGACTTGCTGTTCAACACACTCATTTTAATTAAGAGAGTAAAAAGAGCCCTGTAAAATATGAAGACCAATGGTTAAGAGAAAAAGAATTCAGCGAAGATTTTCTTTTCGACGAAATCATTTACTTAAGCTGTACATTCGTATATATATTTATATGAAAAATATAAGTGTCTGTAAGAGGATAAAATAGATTGCATCACAAACATGGATTTGAGAATAAATAACAAATGAGGTTAATGTACTAATCAAGGGTTAAGGAAGAAAATAATTTATGGGTCAAATAATAGTTAAATTGACAGATATGAAGAAAAGCGACAAACACAAATGTAATAATAATTGACTGAATAATAATCAAGAAAACTTGTATAAGGTAATAATAATAAAAACGGATTAGAGTTTAACATCTACATTTAATTGGTTGTTGCCTCGGATTGATACCATTCATTCTGATGAAGTTTGTAGCTTGCTATAAATATAGTATATAGGTATGAAGTATAGTATTTCACAGTATTATGTAATTACAATCAATTCTACTCTGAATAGGTACACTTACACGGGATATCTTTTTTTGCGTTGAGTTCATTTAGAAATATTCCGTTTGTTTTTTAATAAATTCATCTTATAGATTTGTGCTAACATGGTCAGTCAGGCTTTCAAAAAGCATTGGACTAAGTTATTTAGTAAATTATTTTAATACACTTAGTCCATTAAACTATAAAGCAAGCTATACAAATGTAGATAATTGGTTACTGCCATCTTTGACTTTTTGCGGCACTATTCCTTCAATTATTTATATTGACACAATTGTTGTTTTGGAAAACTTAGCTAGTGATTCTGTGACATATAACGATTAGAAATAAAAAGTT